CGAGTCTTTAAAATTTAAGTGTGTGTAAGTCACACTTACGTAGTTTAGAAGTTGAACTTGTCTAATCCAGTAGGCAAGCCAATCGTTCAGGGAATACCGATATAAATGCGTCATATTTGTTTAGACCACTTCTTCGTATTTTGGACAAGCTATCGTAAATAACCTTAAATGTGATACTAAACGCCCTTAAATTTAAATCTCAATACGTACCGTTGCTTTGTGAGATCACAAAATGCAATTCTTCGCTTCTATTCTGTTTAAAGAGACGTGGGCAACGACTTGAGCGTGTACAAAAATTCTATTAAGAGAAAAAACCTGATGGAAATATCCGCCGAGGGTATCGACCTACAGCATTGGCTATTTAAAGTGCAGGACGAACAAAATCGCTTCTTGAGATGGGTGTCGATCGATGAATGACATTAAAGGCGATGGATATTATTAATTAGGGGACGAAATATTATATAGTTTGCGATCGTTTTTCAATATCCAAAGTATACAGTATTACAAGTACATAAATAATACATACAGTACGGAGCTTAGTCCAAGATACCGTAGTGTATGTATTTAGACAGCTACATATTGTTTCCGTTCAGCGAGACGCTGCTTTTTCTAAAGCTTCCTTCTTGTGTGACAAGGGGCGTTCCATCTCCGGTACAATAATACATTTACACGACAATGCTTTTTTTATAATCTTATTTGGTTCCTTATACAGATTTATTCGACCTAATAATTGGAGGTGAGCTATCGACACCATTTTACGATTACAATTATAATGTATTTACAATTAAGAAATTTATGTACAAAAAACGCGACTATAAATATATAAATCAAGCGACATCTTGTTAAACATTTTTATTCAACAGTTTAACCTACTATTATTAAAGGTCCAGTTTTAGGTTCTGCTCCAACAGAGGATAAAAACTAAAGTGTACAATAAAAAGTGACGTGCGTGGCAAACCAGCTCGCGGTTTACCTGATGTTATTACTTAACCACCGCCTATTGAGGTTTTCAAGACCCGTGGGGTTGCAGATGCACTTCACGTCAGTCTTGTGAGGTCGTGGTGCTTACCCACACGGACCTGCACATTCGTGCGACAGCGAGAACTGCTGCGTGGTCCCATCACAGTAAAGTAAAAAAAAATGATGAATAATCAGCGTTTGCACAAGTAACGGTGCGATTAACACAAAGGCCAATTGTAATTAAATCAGAAGCCGGACGGTAACGGGGGTCGCGTCGTTTATGGGATGAGAGAAAACGGTTACGGAACATCGACACGGTGCAGTGCATTTGTTTACAATAATTCGGGGAACCTAGGGGCCACGTGATAAGGTTCAATTCTGTGTAACGCTCCAACGCCCGTGACTCGCCTGAGCGCACACTTTTACAGTAATCAAAAGAGAAGTGCGCAGTTTCGTGTTTTACGTTTATTTAATATTTGGACTTAATGGAGATTTTAAAAAAGCAATCAAAATATCGGTATCCCAATTTAGATATGGCTCTTTACTTTTATTTTAAATTCACCCTGAAACTGATATTTGAAGAGAATTATGCCCACGACGATACAAAGCTTGTTTGTCTTATCTTTATCTTAACGTATTTAAAGCAACCGTTTCAATAGTACCTTTGGTTGGTTAGACAAAATAACAATCAGAAAGCATTGTTAAAATCAGATTAGACAAAATATCAGTCCAAAATCCAGTTTACCTATAAATGCAGCCCGAAGCATACGTTAAACGCTTTTACAACTTAGCATGTGTACCCGAGTATGGTGACGTCATCTTACCTTGTTGCTACCCGAAGGGAATCTAAACCAACGGTTTCTTCGGGACTACAATTAAGTATAATCAATTATTTTCTGCACGCCCGGGATCCGTAAATCAAGTAGGCACTCACTGTGCCAGAGTGGCAGAAATGCTGCTTCATTACGATTAAAATCTGTTTCGTAATTGATCTATTAATTACAAAGATGGGATCCTGACACTACCCGATTGCACCATGGGCATGGCCATCGAAATATTAGGCAAGCGGAAAGTGCTAATTTTAAACGAGATAAACAGAGCTAAACAAAACGTAAATGGTATTTAACGAATATGGTTTCATGTAGCGTACCAGCTGTTAAATTAGAATTAACCATTAGCGATAGTGATAATTCGCTTACAGTATCGTTCTTAATTACCAAGCGGACATAAGTACCAAACAATAATTACGTGGATATGTTGCGCGCATCGCAACATTTTTCAAAGTTAAACATTTCATTCCGCAGCTAGTTCAATTTATTATTCAACCCCGTATTTGTAGCAACACAAAATGGCGACGTTTAACAAGACAACGGTCCGACATACCGATACATTTACTCAACCTGTTTGACAAAAGACAATAGCATTAATCATCTAAACAATAAACACGTAAGTAAAACGTCGGAGGATTATTTATTATGTACAATATTATAAGTTTTATTTTATTTCTACGATGACTATTTATTTTGACATATTCCAGGCCACGATCGCTGTTAAATAAATAATGTGGCACGTGTAAACTATATTCACCTGGCCGCACATTACGGTGGTGTGCCAATAAATCTCTTACATAACCAGGGTTACAAGAAACTGCCATAAAAAACATAGTTATTCGCTACTGTAATCGGGATTGATCTATCGATTCGAATAGATTAAAAATAATTATTCTATAGGGCGTTAGTAACTACGGTTACGAAATCGAAAGATTCAATCATTAAGTATTCATCACTCATCACATGACAAATGTACCAAAATGTTTAAAATAACAGACAGTGCCGCTGGAAACTATTGGCAAAGGTCAGCAATATACCGTTAACTTGTTGCGGTGCAAAAACCTAGATTTTTCAAACTGGTACATGTCGATAAGTTTCGCCCATCCCTAAAACGAGTCTGAAGGGATAACTGGCTGAATTCAGAATTTATGTTAAACTTAAGCACTTAAATTTGGACTTACGTGGTCTACATTAAGAACGAGAGTCGCGTAATGGTTGTAAAGAACAAATAAACAGCTGTGTACTTTACAATACCTGCTCGACCCGTTACTTCTAGTGCTCTATCTTCACTTCGAAGGAAAGGGACAGCTCTATAAAAGGATGTTTAAAATTTTACCTGCCTTTAAAATTTATAACCTGTCCGGAAACAGCTGATTTTATTTACCACGTTTGCAATTACGGTACAGGTTGTACTGAAATTTATAGATCTAGCAATTTAAATAACTATTGACAGCTGCGGTAATAAGTATGCTATTTACGGTATATAAACGGTAAAATCGCATAAATTATTAAATTACACAGCGAAAACAGAATGCACAAAGAGAGAACGCTACTGCATACGGTTCAATGTCAACATAAAATGGTCGCTTTACGTTGCAACTCGTGAACCTGTCAAACTTTCTAAAATGCAGGAGCGACATGAAATAAGCATCGGTGGTGAAAACTGAATTGACCACGTCCTCGCAATATATTCAAACATATGTTGCGTGTATCAAGTCGGAAATAAAACTAGGATTACCTTTTTAGCAGCAAGCGTATTCGTCTAACTCCAATACGGAACACCTACGCTATAATATAACACTACGGAAATCGTGTCTTTTTCTCTTCAAATACATTATTGCACTATTCACAATAAATTCGGACGCGCAAACGCAGTCCAAATGTGATTGTTCAACAATTTAGACCGCTAAATAAAGCGAGCGTGTACACGCTACTCGCTTCAATCGTGGACTAAAAAATGTCAGCTGGGCCAAGTACATTCTCGTAAATCGATTGAAATCTGTGAAACAGCCTCTAAACGTGTATCTCTTTCTCTCATTTGGCATCTCGCTCCCACACTCGGATATTTTTGCAATTTATATCCTTTATGAGTATTTTTTTAAGAATTAAACTAAACGAAAACATGTTTCAATGCATATTCTACAATTACAATATAGTAATTGCTAGATTAATGTAACAGTTTATACATTTGCAATCATATGTTGAACAAAGCAATGTGTCAACAATAACAGGGACTCTGTTATTGACATTTGAAAACCCGCTCTGATTGGGCTGCGCACAGCTGTTTTTGACGCGTCGTGTTTTTCTTAATTTCCCACTAGATAGCAGCACATTCTCATCAACAACAACGCATCGAAGACAAGAATCATATAAATAAGGACAATTTTCTATTACTAAATTAATAATTATCATTAACTGTTTACTTTAAAATGATTCAATGACCTTCAACCTATAGAGAAAAAAATATACACTACAATTGATTCCACATGTAATATGAATACGGAAAATGTTTTGATTAAGTAGCATTACCATGGTTACGGTGTTTTTCAAACAAATTAAAAATAATAGATATCACCTTTTCCTTTTTCTGATAAATTCATAATAGGTAATTTTAAGTGTAGGTCAGAGGTCTACTTATCGGAGATGAAATACTCTACTGTTGTTGTGTAAAAGGATACTAGCAAAACTAAGTGTTTTCTATAATTGTATGTAATGAATTCTACAGATCTTTTAGCTCGTGAAAATGAGTTTAGAAAACTCAATAAGCAGTTAGAAAAGAAAACTGAAAGTCTTATGAAAGAAATAGAAAATGTCATGGTTAGTTTCGTGGGTCTGGGTTATGGTGCGTTACAGCCGTACGGTATGGGTCTATAATTATCATTAATACATAATATTTTTCAAACATTTCAGCAAAAGCAAGACGTATTCTCTGATATCTCTCGTAAGCTGAGAATAACGCCATCCCCAAGAAACGTAATAAAGCATCACTGCAATTCAGCACAATCAATGACGCTAGACAATAGAAATAAATGTATCAACCAAATGAATTCAAGTAATCGTCCGAATACGACTAAGAATCGAGCAAAGAAAAATTTTAAGAATGAAATTGAAATAAACAATGAAACCATTGTGGACAAGCAACAAAATACCTGTCATTCATCTACATTACAAAATTACAATTGTTCAAAAGATATTATATGCCAAAATTGTATGCTTGATAAAAATGGAAGATTGAGTGATGACATTGAATTCCTGTATGCTTTTGTTGCAATTAACGTTAAGGACAACATACTTCCGCAGTCGTTTTTAAAAGGTGATTTTGATTATTATTTTTAAAAAATGTCATTTATTCCTAAGTGTTTTCAAATATTTATCAACAGGCTTAAACTGTGCTGGTGCATTTAGTAAAATAATTTTAGGGAAAAAGGGGGCAAGCGGCACACAAAACCTATCTATACTGTTACTTGGCACAGGTGGAAAGTATTTAAAAACAAGGTATCTTATTGAAATAGAGAAAAGGCTTTATCACATGAACCTTCCACTAAGTTACACAGTTTATTATTTAGTGTTATGTCTATTCAAAAATCTTGGCATGTGTGTATATATTGTACTTTCTCATTTTTTGGATTGATCTCTCTTTAAGTTGAAGAGTGGTTAAGTAATCCTAATTTATTTATTACAGATATAAATTTTGTTTATATCTTAAGTACAACTTAAGTTAAATTATTAAGTAAATATTGCTAATATTTACTGGCAATAAGAACATTTTTTATAAAAGATAGTGGTAAGAGGGGAAGGGTTTTAAGTAACCGGTGAACCATTGATAGAGATATAATGGCAAAGTATGAATCTATCTCAACAATCTCAAACCACTAGACAGTCTTCTGTGTTCATAATAATATATTATGTATAATATTTTATTTAAGACTTCACATTTTTAAAACTAAATTAAAATGTCATTACCTATCCTCTTAATATACTATCTGTCGTCCATCATATATCTTTTTTTTTCTGTCTATATGTATATATATATATATATATATTTTGTATATTTACTATTCTTATTATTTGTTTAGTACACCCTACCGCTTTCTTCTTTTAATGATTCCTCTGCCCTAAGGTTGCCTGGAAGAGATCGCTGTTTTAGCAATAAGACCGCCTGTTGTACCCATGTGTCTTTAGTTATATACAGATAGATATAGATGTTATATATAGACTGTAAAATGTTTATATTGTTCATAGATAATGCTTTAGCAGTTTTATAAACTATTATTAGTTTACATATCCTAGTGCAAAACTATTTCCTTCTGACTTATCTAAAATTATCAGTTTAATTATTAACTAATGTTTTGGACTTTGAATGGTTATGTAACTTTTTTGATTGTTCATGTTTTGAAGGAAATTTCTACAAATATGCACAGCTAAGAAAACATGGTTTGGAAGTGTTATACCTCTGTGTTTGATCTGGTGAGTGAGGTAGCCCGGGCCCACTTAATTAAAACCCAACCCTAAGGAGTTGCGAATGTCCATGGGCGGGGGTTATCACTTAACATCGGATTAACCGCCAGCTCACTTGCCACATTCTCAAAAAAAAGAAAGCATACTTCAATTGAAAAGTTGAAATGTTAAGAGTGAGTTATATATTTTCCAGAGCGAGTGACTGTGGAGAGTGTTTGCAAGTTCCTGTCGGCGAAGGTGAAGCTGTTGCAGGAGCAGTTGACCAAAATGCAGACCTCGTTGGAGAAAAAGGTTAAAAAGAGAAACGTTTCAAAATAAAAATTACCATTTTGTCTGACAAGACACACAAGTAAAGAGACAAGTATGCTTAAAACGAGTAGCGAATTGTAATCTCAAAGGCCTGCTCTAAGAATTTTTTTATTATTGCAAAGAAGCTAGTGGTTCACCTGATGTTAAGTAACAACTGTAACCCATTGTCATTTGCTACACCCATAGTTTTGCAGATGTGTTGCCAATTTTTAATAAACCCGGCTACATAACTCTCTAGAAGAAATGCAGAAGTATTATACTTCCACTTAATGCTGACCTGGCCATTGGTGCAACAGCGAACATTGTTGCGTGGCCCCATTACACTTAAATACTTTTTGAAAACCCAAATGAGAAACGATAAAACTTATGTATAATATTTTTATTAATTCTATCAGTTATCGTATACCTACTTATTTATAAAAATGTTCATGTATACAATAACCTAGGCTAAAGATATAAGAGACTTGGCTGTAACGTCCTCTGTTGGCCTTGAGGAAGAGGCCTTTACGGATACACAGCCTTGAGGTTGTCTATGGGTGACGAGCTGAGTCACCCACAGTCACCCAAGCTATTGTTATAAGTACCCAGTGAACGCTAATAAAACTTGGACCGCACGTTCATACAATTGGTTGATAATAAATAGCACCACAGTTATCACGCGCCGTCGAACTCCAACAAACTCCTCCGAGTTCGCTGACCAGAGGCCACACCACGTTTCGGCCGCGGAGGGTAGGGAGAACGCGCGCCGCAATACCGACCCTCTTCTCCCGCGACTCCTCCCCGGTAGCAGAAGACAGCGAGAGTAAAATATAAATATATGACCGCAGAGTTTCTTGCCGGTTCTTCTCTTGCAGGTCTAGTTTAGTGAACCGGTGGTAGTTTTTGACGTTCAATAAGAGCTTAAAATAAGCCTATGTTGAATAAAGAAATTTTGACTTTTGACTTTTGAGAGTGGCTCCACCTCTAACACCCTCGACCTGGTGCACACTGTCCCCTGAATCCTCCAGCACGCATCCAGAGTGGGAGCGGCCCTCTCGGGTGGGTTCAGTGTGGGTTCCCCTTTGCCTCGCCGTGGGTGCCACTAAGCCCCTCCGCCACGGGAAGTCCAAACCGCCTCGCGGTACGGTTTATAGGCCCCGCGCCGTCACGGTATACTTTTTCGTTATGTCATTTTGGAGCGACAATAATGCTTACATGTTTATTTGCGACCACTGTTTCAAACCTTTCAATTTATAGTAATTAGTTTATTAGATTCCAATAGATGCAATACAAGCTAACACATAAGTTCCACATCTGTGTGCTTACATAACTACTAGCGGACCGGACAGACGTCCTAATATGTAAATAAAAAAGAATTAGTGGACCTAATTGTGAATCTAAACCAATCTCCGTTTAGGAGGAGTTTAGTGACATACACACGTACAGAAGAATTATATTTACAGGCAGATTTTTTGAGAAGTGCCCAAATTTACACAGAAGGTTCAGACTTGGTAGTATAATTGTTTATTGAAATAAAAAACAAAGTTTTTTTCCAAAAAAAATGCCATTCTATTCCCTAAAAAACAGAACGTGTCGACAATTCAGTAGTCATTAATAAATACCTAAATTTTACTGGGCACGAACTTGTGTGCGTGTTAGTTATGAATGATCACGCGTAAAATAAATGAGTTGCGTATAAATGACGCACTTTTTGAGATAAGTTCAAATAAATGTTTTGATGACTCCGTGGCGCAGTTGCCAAGGTATTGGCTTCGGCGTCGGGGGTCGTGGGTTCCATTCCCACACGAGACAACTATTTGTGTGACCCACAGATAGTTGTTTCGCATCTGGGTGTTTGTCCGCGTGAAATTTATGTTTGTAAAAACGTCCTTTACAACACAGGATAATATTATCCTAAAGTAAGGGCAGTGTTTTTTTTAAAAAAAAAAGAAAGAATGTAATTAATTACTTACGAGTGATTTTAAATATTTATCATTTTTTATGTAACATTATTTATGTCTAGAATTTAATAAAGAAAAATGGATACATTTAGAAAAGCCACCCTGCATAAAGATTTAAAATGTGTCTTAATGGATAATAAACATTGTCCTCTTTTATCGATCCAGGGCCAGCAGTGCGATGGTCATCTTGCGCAACTCGCTGAGCTCGAAGGCGAGAGGATGACTCTTCTTAATAGGGCCAATAAGGCAAAGGCGGACGCAGCCGAGAGCAAAGCCAAGTATATGGCAATACAGGGACAATTAGAGGTGAGTAGTATCAAATTGGAAATTGGAATTTGCTTCTCCTACTATGACTCCACTGTTACGTCATTGATTTTGAAATAACTCTTGTACTTTGGCAACTTGATACGGTTGGGACCATGAGCGTCATCTACATAGTATAAAACAAAGTCGTCCCACTGTCTGTCTGTCCCTATCTATGCTTAGATCTTTAAAACTACGCAACGGATTTTGATGCGATTTTTTTACAAGATAGAGTGATTCAAGAGGAAGGTTTATATGTATAATACATTGCACCCGTGCTAAGCCGGGACGGGTCGCCAGTGTTTAATAATTTGATTAAACATACAGTTGCATACCTTTAAACAGAGGAACAATACACGTTAGTAACATATTAATAATGGGGAAATTGCTTGAGTTTTCTCCCTGCCCATTAACAAGGCCTTTAAAGTTGCAGATGTTGCCAAAATTAAGAGCTGGTGCGAGTTACCTCACACGATAGAACCCGAAACGCTAAACAACAAAAAAAGTGAAAGTTTATTAAAGGTATCATATTTTTTAAGTAAGAATGTTAATTTCTCAGACACGTGAACATGTTATTTAAAAAAATCGGCTAAGTGTGAGTCGGACTCGCGCACGAAGAGTTCCGTTGACTATAAAAATGACAAAAAAAAATCATGTCTGCTCTATGGGAGCCCAATTTAATTTATTTTTTGTTTAAAGCGGCAAAAGATCATACATGTCATCATCTGTGAATCTTGTTCAGCTGTCTAACTATCACAGGTCATGAGATACAGCCTAATGACAGACGGACAGACAGACAGCGGAGTCTTAGTAATAGGGTTCCGTTTTAACCCTTGGGTACGGCAGCCTAAAAATGAAAATATGTGTATCCGATTTTAGTCTCATTTCTTTTACACATTTGTGTGGTCATTCGCTGGTCCCCGACCCCCTTTCCGAGATTGACGCGTGTATGAAAAAAGTAAAGAAAGTAACAGCCTATATAATATGTCCCACAGTTGGGCAAAGGCCTCCTCTGCACAGAGAACAAGTAGTACAGACATTGACATTGGCAATACGCAGACGCGTCGCCACCTTAGAACAAAGTGGGACCCGGCTGCCTCACCCGCCAGACGAAACGCAAAAGTATACCAGTTTTTTTTAAATTTATTTAAAGGGCTTTGTCGCTCTAAGACCGACTCGCCCTGTATTATAAACTACGAGCATTCAACGAGTCTTTAAGTATAACAGTTTAGCGGTCGCGACAGGAGAAGGAGCGCGCTCACAGGGAGCAGAGGGGCGCCGCCGACCGGCTGGCCGCGGAGCTGAAGCAGGCGAGGGGCAGGTGCGGGGCGCTGGAGGGGCGCTGCGCCGCCCACCAGGGGGCGGAGGCGGCGCTCAGGCACCAGCTGGCGGCCGCAGAGGCCACCCACCAGGTGTGCCATCATCTCTTCCATCATCATCATCATCCCCCTACCCTCATCCTATTTTTTTTGTTTTCATTTTTTAAACTCATTGCCCTCACTTTAGGATAATGTTCATCCTGTGTTGTAAGGGACGTTTTTCAAACGTGGAAAAACACCCTGATGCGAAACAACTCTCTGTGGGCCACACAAATAGTTGTCCCGTGTGGGAACGAACCCGCGACGCCCGACGTCATACCAATAACTTGGCTACTGCGCCACGGAGTCATCATGACTACCTATTGTTTTGTATTGCCTGAGATGAAGGAGTGCTAAGAGAGAACTAGTCACCTCTCTCATCGTCCCGTAGGAAAGTGCACTATGGGTGGCTACCGACCATACTATATTCATGTAATTATGGAATATTAGTTCCTTCGTGGGACAAAAGCGGCACAAACGGCACTTAACATCAGCAACGTTTACGGAGAGAACTTTAAAAACGAACCAACCCAATATTGGTTTGCCCGGTCCCCTTCTGGAAGTTGACTTGAAAGATGAACCTCGTAATTGTCCGGACACTGGTCAGTTATGAATTGAAACCGAGCGCCCGGACGTTGGACTATCACGGCGGAAATAACCTGGGGAATTCCCCACCCCGTTCCCGCTCCCGTAGGAGTTCCGGGACTCGTCGCGGCAGCTGTCCGCCTCCCACGAGGGCGCCATCTCCCGGCTGGAGGCGCGAATCAAGCAGCTGACGTCCTGCGCGCAGAAGCAGCACGCGCTCATAGACAACCTGAAGATGCAGAACACCCTCCTGACGATGCAGGGCGCCACGGCCTCCCTGGAGGCCGAGTACAACGACTTCCTTAAGCGGGATTTGTGACGAAATAAACGCTTTTCTAGCATTCCCTTCTTGTCTCTTTTTTGCAACACAATTCCCATTTATATGTTCTTTGTTATAAACCCTCGGGCGTTAAAGATGGCTTCAATCCCTCTACGCCAATCGGGTATATAGACCGGGATTCGGAATGGTCGTGTATGAATAATCACGCCGTTACAAATGTTCATAGCCAAATGTTAACCGTCAATTACCGTGACCAATGATTAAAATATTATTTTCCCTAACAATCGATTGATACGGTATAAAGAATATATATAAAGTAGTAAACCGCACGATGCGTGATGTTATTCCCCCGGTGTTGCCGTGTGCTTGCGGAAATATGAAATTGTGATAATTATCCAATTTATTATATAAAAACTGAAAAAATTACCATAGCACTTTCATTAAAATATAATTATGAAAATTTTTCATCACTTCATCATCGAAAGTGTTAATATTATTACAATTTGGAACATTTATGTTCACAAATAATAAGGAGTCATTTAATTAAAATATTATTTATATTCAATAAGGAGCCGTGATAGCTCAGTGGCCGGACGCTCGCCTTTAATTCAATAAATTCGAGCAACCTAAGTTCGATCCCCACTGCCGGCACCAATAAATTTTAAGTGCTGACTTTATCACGTTCTGGTAAAAGAACACTGAGGAAACCTGCATATTTTATAAATACTAACAAAAAAACAGAAAATATTTCGAAGATATGTAAAGTCCGCCAATAAGCAGTGGGGCCGAGTGGTGGACTATGCCTTGATACCCTCTGTGCAGAGCAGGCCTTTGCCCAGCAGTGGGACATTTACTTTTATATTTAATGTCCTGGTAAGATAGTTCTTGGTAAACCTAAAGTAATAATAAGGAAAGCACATTTTTACAACGAAAATCGGGTACTATTCCCATAACGGCAACACTGCATAGTATACAGAAGGTCCTCCGATAAACTGTGACCTTTTGTAGCACAGTCACACACAGTGGAGTAAAACAAAGCGGACCGGTCGCGCAATCCGTACAAAATGAAGACGGTGACTTTTATTGCCGTCATCGCCGTCTCGCTTTACTGCGTCGGTGGTGACCACCTGGTGGTGGGGAACGTCGCCAACAGGGTGGTGCTCGCTAACCACACGGTGGTGGAATACAACGCCATCCCATTCATTAAGAGGGTGAAATACTACTTCTACTCTTCCCCAGATAACAAGAAGATTCAGGTGAGCGTGTAATATAAATATAAAAAATAGTCAGCACTAATCTGTTCTGTTTTTTTAATCGGGGAAGATGGCAAATGGTGATTCGACCTGATGTTAAGTGACCTCCGCCCATAATCATAAAATACTGTGCGGTTGTAGATGCGTTAATAACCTTTAAAAAGTACCCCGCTCACGGAACGCACTAAACTACTTTACGGTAGTTTTTTATAAGGCCGGATAAAGTCATTCATTAGTAATACAGCAGCGGATAATTGTTAATTTAAGCACATTGTGTATGTATATTTTAGTTAACCATCGATAAAGTTTGTGTAAAACCCGAGGGAATGAATACACTATTAGTGTCAAAATGAATTTTACTATAGACGTGCATAAAAGGGTCCTAGTTTGTCACTTAGGCAAGTACAATGTAATAAAGCATATAAAACTCCCTAACCAGTCAAACGAAAACATTTTAATAACTGCAACTATCTCCTTTGACAGAATAAATTAAAACAAATACGGGCTTTGCTTTAGTATACGGTAGCAAAAAATACTGAAAACTAAAATATAACAGAGGTAAATGTTATGGGTTAGGTTTCGCCAGAATGGTACCCGTTGAACCGCACCCCCCTCCCCTCTTGTAGGGGTTTCGCCACTCCCCCCCCCCCCCCCCCCCCCCCCCCCCCCCCCCTTGCATGCTACCGTAAACTAAAACAATACCCAAGTACATAATCCAGGCCATCGTACAATGCAACTATGACGTGACAAGAAAACAAAAAGCATTTGAAGTGTACGTTTTTACATTCATGAATTAAACTCGCGTGCCTGTTGATCGGGTCGGCCAATATTTGACCGCGATAACTTTCCGTTTTAATTGCTGCAAAGCATGCCCCTGCTAACATTTTTGATTCTTTCGAGGGATCATTGAGGTTACGAGCATGGAAAACTCTCAGATTTTATTGCGTCATACATTGCCTGTATTTACAAAACGAAGAAGTTAGCAGCCAAATCTAGCTGCGTGCCATCGAAGATTGTATGAATGAAATCAAGCAAATCACTATTCAAATTAATGATCGGAGTGGTATGCAGGGTGGTCCAAGTGTTTATTTTCGGAAACAGTTTTTTTTTCGTCACCAGTCGAAACTCAAAAATATAACACCTACTTTACGCTGGTCTTTTGTGAGACCGTGTCACTTCTTGGCATGCCTATTCGTGCCACCGCGGAGGCTATGGGCCCTACCACAGTGATCAATTAGGGCTTGCTTAAATGTAAGTTAGCTCTCAACAACGTCATAAAATGCCATTAGTTAATACCACCGTTCGGAAAAAACGGACATGAAACTTAACAGACTTAGCTTGATTTATATATATATGCATTGTTCATTTTTAATTTTTGTACAAATATACCTACAAAATTAATCTTAACTACGTATTTCGAAATGCTATAGACGTGCATTAAAGGTTCCCAGTTTGTCACTTATGCGAGTACAATGTAGCATATAAAACTCCATAACCAGTCAAACGAAAACATTTTAATCATTTAAGAAATATGTTTTTAATGCGTGTTACTCTCGAAGACAAAGGAATCGTGCGCAACCAATGATGTTTAATTGTATGTAATATCATTGTGCGATTCAGAAATGAGATGTACATTTAAAAAAGTCTGGGTATTACTGATATGACGAATTCATCAATAAAAGAAAGACTTGAATTGCGCCAAATACATAAGGGTTATGTCTATGCGAAAAATCATGTTGATTTCTTGCTGTGTGAAGAACGGACAAACCAACAAATTCATTTGTCATATCTGATATCTCTAGGGATGATTCACTCCTGACTAAGATTGGGCGTGGGTGACAGCGATCATACGCCTTGAATATGTGCATAATTGACTCATTGCTTAACTATTTATCTATACAACTCCATATATACAACAGTTGAAGCGTCCGTTAGTGACCGCATAACTTTGAACTACTGGCCAGATGACGTGATATTTACGCAATGTATTTATTGCGTAAAATCAATTATTCAAAGCTATGCTACGATTTATACTACACCACCCAAAAGAAAAGATATATAAAGTCTTTTTAAATTTTAAAACGCTTAATGACTTATAATAGGGACTGCGCAAATAAATGAAAATTCATTGATTACCGTACTTTAGTTTATACAACCTTCATTTTATAGTAGGTAAGTAGTATACCTTGCTGGGAATATTAAAATCAAATTAATCAGTAATTATGATAAGATAGGTAATAAAACTGAGATACGAGTTGAAAATTATTTTTCTTTTCCCAAAAATAGTAAGGTTCAAGTATCGCTCCTGGCGGGGAGACTTAACTCGTATCTGGCTCTTTCTTACAATGCCAATTAAATTTTACCTGCACTGTATTTTAAAAATACACTTATGCATAAATGTAGGTACATTTATGCATAGTTGTATTTTTAATGTGTAATGGGTTGCCATACTCTAGTAGGTACTAGAGTATGCCAACCCATATATAACGGACAGCTTGAAAATGTGTTAATGCGTGTAATAAAACAAATAAGATGATATTACTAATCTGGTATTATCGTTAGACAGGTGAAAATATTTGCAACGTGTATTAGATTTTTGCCACAATAAGACTAACATTTGAATTGCATAACGTCGACTTCAACTTCGCCGACCGAATACAATGTAGAGGGATATCGTTAGCGGTTTCGATTGCTCATTAAGTTTTAGTAAAGTTTACCGGCCATTTGTTCCAGGGAATCCAGATGTTGGACGCGCTACACAGCAAGGCTTCCGCCAACATAACGGCCGGGGGTGTGGGTCATCCCTTTGTCAATATACGCATGAAGAGCGAACGCGGCACGGGGATCAAATACGACGTCGGGATTTACGTCAACCCCAATTACCTATGATAATATAAGTTTTATAGTATTGAATAAATCATCCATAAGCGGAATTATCTTATTTTATCACTTGCTGCGCCCGCGGCTACCGCGTGGTTAAAATAAATAAAATTTCTAAAATAAAAGTAGCCTAAGTTACTCTTTGTTACATTACATCAGCTGTCTGCCAGTGAAAGTTCCATTAAAATCGGTGCTGCCATTTCAGAGATTAGCAGAAACGAACAGACAGACAGACAGACAAAAATTGTAAAAAGTTTTATCTTTGTACATGTACCGTGTATAATCCATGACCATTTAGTAAAAAGCGCTTATTTTAATATTACAAACAGACACTTCAATTTTATTTATTCTTTGTATCATAACATTACGAGTACCGGTCTGTTTCATTACGTGCTTTGTTCGACTTTTTTAAGATAAGAAGTGACTTTTATCATTTGGTTTCACAGTTTATATTTAGGAAGGAAGAAGTACATTACTACCTACCTATTTTCACTTAGTTAAGTTTAGTTTCCGTCTCATAATTGCACAAATTCGTTTAAATATCACACGAGCACTTTCTAATCTTGTCTAAACTATTATGATTAACGTCATGATATTCATGGCCTCAATTGTAACACCGTCTCTGCCAGTTTGAATATTTTGAACTACTGGAATGTATTAACTTGATTAAACGATAAAAACGAACTAAGTTTTATTTGCCTTAGAAATTCATAAAACATCACTGACTATCCTTCGTCCTCGTAAACTTAAAGGACTTGTTTAGTATCAAAGGAGGTGTTAACTCCGTGACATTATCCGACTAGTTGACGCAGCGACTGAAAACACGTCGAAGAAAAATCCCTCGAACAAATAACTCCCAAAAATAATTAAAATTATAAATATGAAGGACATTGAAATCTGTAAGCATAAGACGAGAGGCTTCTAGGTCCAAACATTTGGACCTCATTTTCATGAACATTTGGAACATAAACCAGTCTATTGAAAATATATAAAAAACTTCGCAAAGTTTTGTCTTTTTTTTATTTTTTTTTTTATGCGAAAAGTTGTCAAACGAGCAGACGGTTCACCTGATGTTAAGTGAATACCCCCGCCCATGGACATCTGCTACACTCGAGGGTGACAGATGCGTTGACAACCTTTTGAAAATTGGGCTCCGGCTACCTCACTCACCAGACGAAATGCGAAAGCTCTATACTTCCACTTCACGCCGGTCTCCTGTGAGGTCGTGGTACTTCCCCGGACGGACTTGCCCAAACGTGCAACAAGTCTGTTGTGTGGCCCGATCCGGCTAGATCCGGCACCAGATCTGTGGGTCACACATACTTGATCCGTGTGGCAATCGAACCCACGACCCACGGCGCCGAAGTCAATAGTTTAGCAAATGCGCCGCCGAGTCATCTGTGTTCATGTTCCACTTTTTAATACGATTTTTAAATCACATTTGCCTTATTGCAGCAACTCTCCGATACTACTGATATTTCATTATTTGTATTATATAGAGTGCATCCTTCTCGAAAAGTGAGAAGGTGAAAGTGACATAAAGAAAAAATTCGAACTGTAAATGTCACTGTGTGAAACAAATGCGAAACATATATTGACGTGCCGAAATTTGGAGAAAAAGTGTTATAAAAACTATTCGTATGAGTTTATTTTGTTAAGTTTAGCTTTATTTTATGGTATCATGCTCGGTTTGGATTTCGTAGTTCATAGCAAATGTTATTTTTCAATTTTTTATGGTAAGAACTATTTTCCTGTTTAATATGTGCATATATACCAATATAATATATTAGAGTATTAAAAAGTGAAATACTATTTTACACGTATACTTAAAGCAATTTTTTAGTTTGAGAAAAATAGAGATTGAGGTGCTTATGGCTAATCACAGCCAACATTTTGACTTAAGCCTGTAGCATTATTGCTAAGCTAATAAATAACGTTAGTGTGACATTTAAATTATATTGTTTACTCGCCCTCTCACATCTGAGATACATAATTCTATAACATAATGCGCGTGAAAAACAAATAACAGAACTCACTCTTTATTTTCAGCTTGTTATATCTGATGGTGCTTATTAACAGCCACACTATATCTAAAAGTATCGTCAAAGATGACAACATCAACAGCGTCGTCGACAGCGTACGCGATATTGAAGACGATAAAGAACATGATGCTAAACGTAATCGATTTCACTTCAGGAACGAATTCCACGAAAAGACCACCAAATTTAGCAAGGAATGGTTGACGACGAACGATGAAACGAAACGAACGGAGGCGACTGTACAAATAACCAATAAAGGCGAAGAATATCCCATGTCTACAGGTCACCCAAAAGGCTTTCTGAGGAGACTAATTGACAAAGTGAAGAGGAAAAAGGCAAAACATCTTATTACAAACGAAATGGCAATGCAAGTCACAAGAGCAACACAAGATGCCAAACAAGGCAGGAAAACTCTAAGTAAGAACACATTATCTGACGGCAAAGCCAACGATAACAAACATTTATTGACCAAGAAGAAACACAAGACACTTAGGCGCAAAAGAGCTTCAATAAAGCAAGAAGATCGCGCTACTGCGGAATCTCCGACAACTGTGTACGATGACTTCTCGTATTACAGTTTAAATAACACAAACGGCAATTTTCACAAAACGAACGGACACTGGATAATTGAAAACTACACCTGGGTACCCAAGTATCCATTTACATCGGCCATACCTTACCAGCCTATGATCAAGAAAGATTACTACAGTTTGGCAGATGTGAATACGAAAATTGATTATTTAAAAGAAATATATGGCATTACGCCTTACATTTATACAAAATTTATTCAAAAAAATTCAGATTCCGGTCGTAAAATGACTGACAAGGCTGTGCATGGTTTAGACGCTAACGAGCATTTCGGTGAAACTGCTGAGATTGAAACTTTATTGGATAAAATGAAAATAAAAGCGTTTAGGTTGGCTACAGTAGGTCATAAAAGTCTGCAAAATATATTTTCCGATAGCGCTGTTGAAATGGCTCTTTTGCCTACAGGTACGTTTTCTTTACAACATGTTTCCTCAATTGACACCTTTACTCCGGCTACATATAATAACCACAAAATGCAACCCTCGCTAACTACAAGTGCCGAAAATCTGACAACCGAAATGAATATACAGCGAAATATACGGGCGACATCTCAAAATAAAACAAACCCCGAAGAATTTAAAAAGGTGAAATATCAAATGTCAAAAGAAATTAAGGATAGCGAGAATGATATGAGAAACAAGAACCAATATTGGTCTGATAAGTATAAAGAAAAATGCCAACAACAAGTAACAACACAAGAGGAGACCAGTGAAAACGCACATACATTTGGATACAAAACAATTGATGACGATGTAACAGGCATTCTTCAGAGCCGTGCTGAAAACTTTTCAACCCCATATATGGAGAACAAGAAGCAATTTGTATCAAAAAATCCAACTTCTTCGCTGCTTCCTCTTGATGATGATCTTATGTTGTCGTCTCAATACCAAGAAGTATTGTATACAAATCCAAAGAGGAATTTTGAGAGAGCAATATCCACCGCAAGAAATTTAAGACCCGATGAAATGAAATACACCAAACGAAATGTTTTCTCTGACGTACATGCTAAGGGAAAAGGCAATGACTTCAACTACGATGCCCACGGTCCGTCATACTTTTACGAGGACTATCACAATACAGGAAACGAGAGTCCTGAAGATAAAACTGAATCTACACTACTGGACATGGATGCTTTGTCAAAAACTACTATATTTAAAGATTTAGTCCACAAACTGTGCTACAACGACTATGTTAACGGTTACAAGCACTATCTGAAGTTTCAGAAAGAGCAGGGCGCGCAGAACTATTCAAATTTAGTCCGTTACCAAGCCCACAAACATCACAGTGTTGATGATATAGGAAAGTTCATATTGAACAAGTTGCCGCAAGTACCTACGAGGCAAAGGAGAGCATTTTACGATGACTCTGAGACCACAGAGGATCAAGATTCATCGACGAAAAGCGAGGAGTCTTGGTTTAAGAAGCACTTTTACATTTTCATTGATTCAGGGCAACAGAAGAAATATCATTCATCGCAGACGGTATCATTAAGACCACCAACTATTGAGTCCGACAAAATGATACTTACTCCGAATGATTTCCCAAAGGGAAATTCTAAGACTGCTAATTACCGTCATAAAAGCACTAAAGATATTAATCTCGATAACTTGTTTAGATTTCTACAAAAGAGCAAAAGTAATTCAACTAGAATCACTGCAGCATCAAGGCAGGGTAAGCATAGTTCTGTTATAAAATCTTTTTAAATAATTTCTAACTTGGTAAATTAATCAACAATAAATTGATAATAATTCCTAAGGTTTTAAGTAATTTATCCCAACCTCATATTTTGAAATTGATGCTCTGAAGTTTGTTGGCTTTAGAACATTTTTATTACTTCCTTTTTTTCCTTTTGACCACAGTAGACCACATACCCGAAGTTCGTTTCTTAGGGGTCTAATTATTAACCTGTACTTAAGTACTTACACTACTGATATGTCGAAGATATGTCGGCAGAAAACTTGGTTGTGCAAAGAACAAAAATATCGTTTCTATTAAATTTTTTTAATTTCTTTACTAGTAGTCATAACTGGAATAGTTTGCCTGCGAATCATTGAATAAATGGCCTTTTGGGCAATCTTAGACAATATTTGAGCAAAATAAATATGATAATTATAGTTTTAACAACACTTTAGTACCATTCAAGAGGGCTATTGTCATTTCATTAATCACCTGCAATATTGAGAGGGACAAATGAAAATGTTTTCCTGCACGTACAAATGATTTAATAATCATAATTTGACATAATGTCTATAAATGTTGACAAACTTCATGGCTTCCATATCAGCGTACTATTGCTCGTATAATTGTTGTTTGAATTTTTCTTACATTTTTCTTCATACATTGCGTGCCAAGAAAGCACAAACACTGCATTAAATGGTGTCCCAAATATTTTATATGCGCACTATGAAAATTTTTACAGACCTTTTAAAACTAAGGTACCGTTTTCATCAGTTCCGATTTGTTGTACACTTTCAGTCGTGTACTGAATAGCTCCTTGAATATTGCAGGTGATTGAATCGTAATCCTGTACGATGTCCTAAATTCGTCTTCAGACTATCCTTTAATCGTTCTTCTGTAACAATAGATTCGTACGACGAAACCGCGAATGAGGATATAAATTTTAAAACAATTGTTGGAAAACCATCAAGCAGAGAGAGTTGCATATATGATTACGATAACGAGAACAACAACGATACAACCGATACAAATTTAAAAATGAATGAATTACTAGATGATTTAGTGAGATCAAAAAGAGAACGTTATGTTCACGATGTCAACGACGAATTAAAATTTTACCAAGGCCATCTACCTAAAGATGATTTTGACTCTGAGAAACATCTGCGGTCACCTACACTTAATTCAGTAACTTCAGAAAGGAATCGCGAAAAATATGCATATGTCGACATCAACGTTGTTCCAAAACCGACCGCTGTGGTAAAGCTCAGAAATGCTAAACAGGAAAGTAAGATAAGGAAGTTTTTCAAACGAATACGCTCGCACTTTCGCAAAAAAGACCGCAAGAAGGAAAAATCATCAAAAATTCAGAAACGATCCACTCGCCGCGTTCGCAGCTTGAACCCCTTGAAGAAACTTAAGAAGATGTTCAATGCACGAATCGAAATAAAGTCGGATACGGGAAATAAATATTTCGACTACGAAATTTACGAAAAGAGTATTACACCATTTACACCGTCAAAGTATAACAACTTAATTGATAATGTTGTGTCTGAAATGAACATTTCAAAAAGCGTCTCCTATACTACACCGACACTGCACAACACCTCTATGGCACAAAATGATTACCAGCAAATGATATCGACTAAGACTGGTTAGTCTTATGTTTTATTAGTGGTATAACTGTTGTTTTGTAAAGTAGATTGTTAGTGTATCAAATAAATAAATAAATAAATATTGAACGTGAAAACAATTACCATCACGATGACAAATGACGCCTGTAATCAATAGATTCTCAAGAAAAGATAAATATACTTAAATTATAGTGTTATTAAGGTATTTAAATATTTTAGGCACATGTAGTAAAGTAGGCTTTTAAAATATTTTCCATTAAAAAAAGATAGTTTACATGTTAATTTATATCATGGATTAATCTCTATAAACCTTAATTATTCTTTCAGAGCCCAGTGTTGTTGAAACGAAAACTAACTTACAACAAACATCAATAATTCCAAAAACACTAAACATCATAAAAAATAAAATGAGTATCGATGATTCTACGGCTATAAGCATTAAAGTTTCAACCTCGGGGACGACTGATGCGAATACTCCGAAGAATATTGATACTGTAGAGCCACCGTCGATGCTAATGAGCAATTCGAAACCGTTACAAGACATTACCACCTCTACAGATTACTTCACCCCAACTTTTTCGTCAAAGGGTAAATTGCACAATAGTGACTTGATCATCGCAAAGAACTATTCCGGAACAGAGCATGAAATTGTAGCAAAAGATAAGGGAAATAATTTGAAGCTCAATAAAGACAACATAACTGCTTACCCAACCACTGCATTCCACCTGTTTAGTCACATCACACAAAGTAATGATAATATTTCCCCTTATTACTTCGGCACAAAAAGCTTTACTGGGAATAGTTTTCAAGAAACAAATGTTATGAGAATGAATTTAAAAAGGAAAGTCAAACCACATGAACAAAGAAAACAGACCACCAAAGGTGTTACAAAAAAGCAAACATTTAGTTTCAAACGGCGCTATCAAACCACTCCCCAATATTTCAACGACTTTGAAATGTGGCATAACGACATACTACACTCTGAGAAATATACCACTTGGCAAAGCATATTGAATCGTATAAACCAGCCGTTTCAATACAGGCCACCCAATGTAGCATCGTTGGAGAAGGAATTGAGTATAATGCGCGGACGCATGTTTGCCATACAAAATATTACAAAAGCTGCTGTCACGGCAAATATTACAAAAGCCACTGCCACTGCAAATATTACAAAAGCAACACCAAATGTACTAACACAAAGAAAACTCAATAAGGCCCTAAAGAAAAACAAGGTCATGAAACACATAAATTTAGTTAGGAGGGGCGACAAAGCCAGCAATGATTTAGGCCTTATTCATACTGACAATCAAGAAACTCATCGTAATGAATATGATAAAAATTTAACAGCAGACCTAACTCGTATCATCACCAATCAGTATCGCCAAATTCTTAATCCCAATTTATTTATTGAAAATTACGGTGAAATCGCTGCATCTGAAGAAAATAAAATGTTTCAAGGTTTGAGAGCTGGAAGTCTAATCTATTACATAATTTTTTAATAGCTCAGGCTGTATAGAACTTGCTTCCATTTGCAGGACCTATAGAAAGTTCATTCTCTACGTTCCTGGACCTAGGCCCTGAAACTACCCCATTTATGGAGACTACAACACATGATGACAGTTTTGAATTTACAACCAGAAGAAACTGCCGTGTCACTGGTAAAGTCGACTTTAATTGCGATTATGAAGTTTATAATTCAATGACATGGATTGTAAACTCGCCAGGGAATTTTTGCACGTACTAGGACGTCTAATTGAATATTTCTTACTTTGTATGTTGAACACAAATTTTACTTTACCTTATAATTACTTACCTTATAATTAAATAACAGTAAGCCTCTAACCAAATTACAAAATATTATCATAAAGACACTGTTTTTTTTATTATTTACAGACGTTTCCACTCCGACAACGAATGGCAGTACACAACCTCCTGTGAGTTTTGCGTCATATACATTGTCCCTTACGTTTGATAACCATTATAACTTGTTATTTTTACATCTTAAATCCAAATTGCCAAGATTTACTTTTTTAATACACTCACATAGATCCCATGGACACACTCATAGAGGTCAATTACCATTAAACTCCATTTATATTTGCTTATTCGCCCAGTGAAATGTTATTAACTCGCAATCGACAACTTCTTATCCTTTACCACGCCTGCCTGCAAGCGAATAGACCTCCTGTACTCGCCGAGTCACCCAACCCAGATTAGGTCACAAATATTGTCATAGCCTATAAATCCCTCACAAATTCGAACCAGACCGTGTAAGCCATAAAATATAAAAACCTTAATTTTTTTCAATGTGCTAGTCTGTATCTATTTCTTTGAAACAAATTTTCTTTCTAGTTATCTGATTAGTCTCCTCGACTGCGTTAGGAAATTAACTAAACGTATCGCTCGTAACAATCTGATTAAAAATAGAGTAAAGAATACAGGACCTGTAGTAGGGCCACGCAACAGTCTTCGCTGTTGCACGAATGGGCAGGTCCGTCCGGGCGAGTACCACAACCTCATAGAAGACTGGCGTAAAGTGATAGTGTTATACTTCGGCGTTTCGTCTGGTGAGTGAGGTAGCCGGAGCCCATTTTATTAAAAGATGGTAACGCATCTGCAACCCGGGTGTTGCAAACGTCAGTGAGCGGCGGTTATCACAACATCAGGTGAACCGCCATCTCGTTTGCCACCTTATCATTAAATAACCAACACTCACTAAAAAAACCGGAGAACTGCCAGAAAAAACTCACACACATGTAGCGTACACGCATAAAATACTGTAGGGTCACAAATTATCGTGTACACAAGGATCACTCGCACTCACAGTTGACGACCGTCGAGCTGTTGACCGTAGGCCTTGTTCATAGCCCTTAGACAACAACTTAATGGCTCCAAAAACCCCTGCGTAAATTGAAACGTTTTCTGGGATATTAGTACGAGAAAGCTCTGTTTGTCTTTAATAAATAACTCATTTTTGTACTACTTTTGTAGTAATCAGAACGTAGTTTTGCAGCATTAAATTAACACTAAATTAGCAGTTAGTTTTCTGTTAAATTTGAGTAATTCTAACCAATTGATAATTCCAGCTTTGTAGACGTATTTACTTACCCCTCAATCGCGCCTAAAGAAGTGTTACTTCAATTACTTTACAAATATATTCTTTTACAAATAATAAGTTATTGAGTTCTGTTACAGGTAACAATACTTAAAAAACTCCATAAGGTACCTGAACAATATTTCTCAACGCCTGTTCCTATGAAAACTAAGGATTTCGATAATTTTCTGAAAGAAAATAATTTGGATGTCCCGTCAGTTACTTCTCCACTGAACTTTCCTAGCATGATTGAAGAAATCGTTATAACAAATGAAAAATATGAAACGAAATTAATTAATAATTCTAAAGCCACCTCGGAAGCGACGGATAATTATAATGAAAAGTACAATTTTTATAAACTGCTAGAACCGAAGAGTGAAACAACAACGCAATCGATTTCTGCACCCATACAAACAAAGGGTAGGTACTTCAATAATGAACTCCAAAATAAGAATTATTTTCTTGATTATGTTTACCTGAATGATGTTAATGATGAAAGGATAGACAGCAATACATTTGAAACTCCTCATACTGTATTATCGGCAAAAGATACTTTAGGTGGTGGAATTTACGGCAAAATTAAAGGTCGTTTTAAAAACTTTGGTAGTAAAAAGTTAGAGTTAAAAAATAGCTTACAAACTTCGACTACTCAATTAGATGATGTTGTATTAACGGAACTTTATTTCGACGATTTAGAAGATCAACTTCAGTTTGCGGATAAGACTAGTAAAAAACCAAGCAAAGTTCAAAATGTAAACACTAAAAAAGACGAAGTAGATAAAAAAACGCACGAACATCCCAATACAAAATCAATGCATAAACCGATTCTTGACTTCAATGAACATGTAAATAAAACAAATACTACCAAGACTGTTCCAGCCAAGCAAATTAAGCCAAGTAAAACAGATAGAGGCGAGACATATCTTAAAATGCCGAACAGACAGAATTTCCGCTCCTTTATGCACAACCACTTGTTATTTAATTTTGAGTCGGATGGTAATAAAAAAGATATAAATAAATTAGATGACTTGAACGAGAGACCTTTAAATCTCGGACATAAATGTAAACAAAAGTCGGAAAGTAGAATAAAACTCGATCAGGCTTCAACACGAACAAGCCCAAAGAAGTTTCCAGTTCCTAAAAAAATTCACATATCAACCAATACTTTGAATTATGATATTGTTTTCAATGATAATTCTACTGACACACCTAATTTCGAAGGCACAGGTTAGTGGATTAGTAATTGTTTTTGATTAAAACTTGTAGCAGTTGTTATTCATTTTATTCTTTTTGTATGATTTATTTGTATCTTAATTTCCTCGAAACGATGTCACTGATTTTATAGTTATCTCGACGTATTATTTGTTTAGTTTCAGAGAAAACACCACACTTGAAAGTTTTTGGCAATTACGGTTTTTATTCGATGAAAAAAAACGAGCCAAACAATGACAGTGAGTAAGTTATAATTCATATATTTCCTTTTCTTTGACATGCTATACTTAATATTATATTATATTTACGTAACGATATCAATTCGCTCCGAAGTCCGAAAGTCCTTTCAATGACAAGCCGAAACTCTGAAAACTTGATCATGATCTCTTTATTTTATGGAACTTCTTGTTACCCTTATATTACTTTCATTCTTAACCATTCAGAAAGTGTAAAGTTTGCTTTAATTGATATTAGATTGCAGCCACTGATTAATGGTCATCGCCCCAAACATTCTGTTCCGAGCCATCCGTAAAGTCCGTACTTGAACTTCCGACAGAGATGAACGGATCAAAGAGTTGGTAAGGGTGGTCGAAGCGGTCGCTAACTATACCCGACCCAACGTTCTGATACACATCGACCTGCCAACGTACTATCGACCCGATAGGAACGTAACTGATCCGACTCCGTTACCCGGCCCGGCAAAGTCCATTTGGAACGATTTCATTCTGAAATACGTGTCGGGCATCGCTCTTATCGAGCTGCTCACAAAGTTCGGAGTAATAAAAGCCGTCGAAGCGAACCTTACGGATGGCACGGACAGGGATGTTAATGCTTATGGAGTTTTTAGTGGAGCTGCTGAACCGCGCACTGGAATGGACTTGATGCCTATCGATAGTATCGCGCGATTCGTGCGTTCACCGAAAGGTAAATTAGCATTTAGAAACAATCAGGCTTACCGAGTATAGTAGAAAAAGAAACGAAATATCTCCTAATTATATAAATGGGATAATAAAAAAATTTCAAATTTTTTTTAAATTTTTTTTTTGTGAAAAGTTTCAAGCGAGCAGGTCATTCATCTGATGTTAAGTGATTATCACCGCTCATCTACATCTACAATACCTGAGGACTTATAGTTGCCTTAGCGTTGACGACCTATAAAAAATAGGGCCCCTGTTACCTTACTCATCAAATGAAATACGAAAGTGTAATATTTCCACTCACTTCTATGAGGTCTTCTATGAGGCCGTGTCAATTCAAAAAATTTATTTATTAGTAGTCTTCTATGAAAAGATATTGAAATCTTACAATTTTCGCTGTTTCTTGATTGCTTTTGCAGAGTGAATTTGTTAAATAATTTCTGATTGTGTTAATCAATACAATGTTATAAAAAGCCTCCTTATTAACTGTAACACCCGTGGGCTCGCCTTGAACAGTGAACATGACCTATGTTCAGTGGTGAAGTTGCTAGTTGCTAGACTTTAATGCTGCCCTAGGTCGGGGTTCTGTATCTCCCAAAATTTTACCACGTTGCTGAAATGTGTTTTATACCGGAGGAACATAGTTTCGTCGATAGTTATCTTTATCCCTTACTACCATTTGAAGTTTATCACACCATTCGTCCTATTTTATTATCGCACGGAAAGGATCTCAGATCCATTTTTCAATAATGCACGCAAAACCTGGTTAAATAATCGCATTTAAAAATAAATTACAACAGGCTAGTGACTCATGTGGAAAAGGTTTTTAAGCGTTCTTTTCCGTAACCCTTTATATGCAATACATATTATTGAATGCATACAGCAAGTAATTGGGAAAATAAATAAGTAATATTCTACTACTAGACACGATAAATATTTTGTACCGTTTCTTTTCCTGACTAGTGAACAACACAACGGTACCGTCGTCGAGGAAGACGACACAGGACCCGATGAGGCACGGGACTATTATCTACGACTTGAGACAAGTGGGGCGGCCACGCGAAGCTAAGATGCGGCGGGGACATGAGAAAGATGGTAACTGCTTAGATAAACATATCACTTCATGGTATAAAACAAAGTCGTCCCACTGTCTGTCCCTATATATGCTTAGATCTTACTACGCAACGGATTTTGATGCGGTTTTCTTTAATAGTGATTCAAGAGAAAGGTTTATATGTCTAACTCATGCATAATATAGTAGAGAAACACTGATAATCTTAGAGGTTTCTAATGAAATGTCGAAAACAAACATTCAGCATTGCACCTGTGCGAAGCCGGGGCGGGTCGCTAGTCTTATATGTAGCGTAAGTTTGTTTCGTTTATCAGCTGGGTAAAACGTAAATATTGTTAGTTGTCTGTGTTTTACTTCGTTCTTATCTTGTAATACGTTTTTATACAGATGTTAATCTAAAACTATGAAATTGCTGGTTTGTATAGAAAATCTAATAATTTTCTATGAATAATATATATTTCATTAAATAAACTATTTGCTGCTATTGTCCACACTCACCGTTTTCGCCATTGATAAAGTATACTAGTACCATCAGAAATCACCGTAATCAGTGCACTCCTTAAAGGTGTTTTTCACCACCTAATCGCATTTGACCGTAAAATTTTTTAAATTAATTATTGTCCCCTGTTAAAAGTTATCACAATTCCAAAAGACTAAAAATAAAATCAAAAAAATGTAGCCATCAAAAATGAAGACAAGTATAATATAATAATAGACAAGTATAATGGATGACTAAGAGTTAAGAGTTTGGCAGCAAGTTTGTTCATAATCTTTTGCTACTTAATTATTCACAGTATATCTACTAGCATGATCCTTAAGGATGCTTAACGTACAATGAGCAGTTTCTTTTGACCCAATTTGCGTTTAGGGCATAATTTTGTTGTCTTAAATCACAGAGGTTTGCGTTCGTCACACAGGGGACGCACTTTCTATCAAAAGTGACAATCAATTTCAGAATAATCTCATTTTGTGTGCGCATGCAACAGTAAGGGTTAGCTTCAAATTTTTATTAAGTGTGTTCTTCATACTGGGTACCGTATGAATAAGATGGACTACCTCGGTAGTTAAGTTGGTAAACTTTTCGCGGTATTCCATCTTTCCAATTTATTATGTTGAAGGCTGCTAACTCCGTCGTAGCTTGACTTGAATCTTTTTTTTATGAGAGACGGTGGCAAGCGAGCTGGTGATTCACCTGATGTTAACTTTTTTTTAAGGACATATTGCCAAACGAGCAGACGGTTCACCAGATGTTGAAAATTAGGCTCCAGCTACCTCACTCACCAGACGAAACGCGAAAGTATCGTACTTCCACTTTACGCCTGTCTTCTGTGAGGTCGTGGTACTAACTCGGACCTGCCCATATATATATATATATATATATATATTGATAAATATTAATTTAAAACCATTTTGATTCAGAGATTTCATCGTCACCCAAGATAGAAGTCTCTACCGTGATCAATAAAGCAGAAAATATGAATGGAACATGGACGAAAAATGACGAATTAATGAAACATGATACAGATGTATGTATACATTTCAAATTGCATACTATCACGAGAGCCGTCATTGCTCAAAGTGGGCGCCCGGACGGGCACTCACTTTTAATTTAATATAGTCCTACAACCTGATCTTAATCCCCGGTGCTGCCGGAAATGAAATTGTTAATTTTGAAGGGCTGACTTATCACATGCTCGGCGGTGAAGGAAAACATCGTGAGGAAACCTGGTTATAAAAATATATGTGAAATCCGCCAATCCGTAGTGGGGCCGGGTGTGGTGAACTATTCCTCAATGCCTTCTGTGCAGAGGAGGCCTTTGCCCAGCCGAGGGACGTTCCGTATATAGGCTGTTACTGTACTTTACTATCACAATATCACAATATCACATTTTTCATTTATATCAAATCTTAGCTCAGTTTTGAACTTTTATCCTACACTAAATAAAATTTAATATCGATAAATTACTTTGGCAACAGTTAACATTTATTTATTGATAGATATAACTTATTGATAGATATAGATTCAATGATAGTAACGTCATAAATATTGTTTTTATTAAACAATGTCTTTAGAGACCTCAATTTATTACTTAACAGGCCCTAGCGACTAACGTTACCACAACATTGACCACAACGCGACTAAAAACTTTAGAAACTATCGCTAACCAAGGGCTGCATTTAGACGACACAGAAAGGGAACCGTCTAAAAATTCATTGGAGGAAAATGGCCCGATAAAATCTACAGAAAAACTCACTCCGCAGACTCGACACCGCCAGCATGTAAGTTAGTTAAAGTCTACAGGAAAATATAGTGAAGTAATCCTTACCTTGGTACCATGGCAAGGGTGAATAGTTTTTAACTTTTTTAAATTTAAAACATTCTGTGATTGTTTAATAATTGCCGCCATAGAGATCTGCTTCATTGGGTTGCAAATGCGTTATCAACAATTGAAAAAGTGGGCCCCAGGTACTTTACTCACCAGATGCAGTGTCTGTCCAAGAATGCAACAACAAAACCTGCTTTGTGGCACTACCATAGTTACTACTGAACATTCATATACATGATCGCAATTTATATACACGTAGATTAGTAGTCGAGCACTATAAATATAATATTTAAGAACAGCGACACCAGTTATTATTTGCCAAATTACGGATTTCCTATATCATATCATTTTGTTTTCAGATGGCCATTATAACAAAAATTTATACGAACGCTATTATTAACAAGATCAAGGGAACTCCTTTACGGACTAAGATGCTACCTCTAAATACAATCGCTGCAGTGCAACTGTCGGAAACTAAAAAGAAGAGTTTTCCAAACGCCAAACCCGGCAACGCACACATTGGCCCCCACACTACTTCTATTCAGAAAGTATCTTCTAAAACTAAAACAAATGAACTAGGTACAACTACCCCAGAAACCACTACAGATTCTTCCGAATCAGATGTTACAGTTACGAATGATGAAGGAAGCTTTTATATTACTAGCTACTATGTAAGGAAATTTACATTTTTTTGCCGTGACTCAAAATTTGTTTTTCTTTATGTATTAATTTTAAAAGTTTACTTTAACCAGGATTATGACACAATGGACTTTGAATATAATACAGAAAAAGATCAACTTAAAAAAATGAAAAATAAGACGAGTACAAAAGATAATTCTTTTATAAGGCACGATAAACGCGACATAAAATCCCAAGACACTTTTACGGCTAGAGACGTGGCAGCTATTGAAGTTATAGTTGATTTGATGCGAAACAGTCGAAATCCTGAAGAAGACGATGTGGCAGACGCAGAAAATGAAACATCAACTAAATCAACTTTGAAACCTGGTCAAGTCATCAACAGAGTCAATGACAGCGTTAGCAATTCTATTCAGGTCCATATCGCGATCCCCCCATGCAATCATTTAAATGATAAGAAAAGATCGTTGAATGAGCCTGTTAGAATTAGGAAAGTGTTTAGTGCTAAATTATCATCGCCAGTAGATATGGAGTATCAAATACATTCCGTCGAGGGTTTAGGTTCATTATCCACTGAACGCGAAAGAAGTCATTTGACTACGGCTGTGTCAAGTTCTATCAATACGATTAAACAATCCACTCCACACTCCATGTCTACGAAAATGGGTGCTTTGTCACCGGGAATGTATGTTTTAGTAGAAAACAGTACAATGCCTAATGGCCATTTTGTTTTGAAACCAGTTCATAATAACGGCAAGTTGTTAGATAGCAAAATGAAACAAATATTTATGACAAACAAAATAGCAAGGGATAAACCACAAAATAACTCAGCTAATATGACTTTGACCAAAGAATTCATAGCAGCTTTAAATAAACATTTAATACAGTTATTCCAGAACGTAGGTATGCCAGAACACACAATTAAAGCAAGAAATATACACAGAAATAAGACATCAAACAAAATACAGAAATCAAAGAAAGTACAGAAACGTAAGTCTGCTGGCTATAGTAGAGAAAGAAGACATTTAAATTGGGAGACCATAAAAAAATATTTTGATCATAAAGTTTGTAGTTGCCATTGCAAACCTAACCGTACGATGTGCAGAACTTGCGCTGCCAGTGATGCAGTGATTTCGGAGTTAATATTTGAATTAGATAATTTAGCACAATACATGAATGAACATTGTACCGAAATTCAAACATATTTCTGGATGAACCCAAGCGGGGGAAGAAAACTTAGAGATGCCGTTCATAGAATAGACAAAACATTATACGATTACTATAAAAGAGTAAGAGGAAAATGCAAAGGACGCCCTTGTAAAACTTTGACATACATTGATAAGCGTTATTATTTGACTCCCGATAAGAAAACTAATTACATAGGAGAACCTATGATTCGTGATATAGAAAAGATTGCAGATGATCTAGAACAAGCTTCTAAATATAACATAGGTGATGAAAGACTTTTTTACACAGGGACAAAATGTCTAGATGTCATTACAAAATGTATGCACTTAAAGCCTTTTAATAAAAGAGCTAACGAGGAGAAAAGACGTTTAAAAAATGTGTATTCCTTAGACAATGTAAATGTGAATATTATATGCAAATCAGATAATTTGGAAGGGGCTCAAAACAAAAATTATTCAACTTCACTATCAACGTTTTTTTCGACATATTCGACAGAATCTCCAAATATATTTTATTACGACACGGACGAATATAAGATTGGCCCAAAAAAAAGAAAAGGCCTGAAATCATTTCTTTCGTTGAAAAGATGCCATCCTAAGAAAACGAGGATTAACAAGAACCGTGTCATACCATACATATATACTGATACATTATCAGAACGTAATTCAGTATTGAACAAAATGAAATTGAAGAAAAGACAAATTAAAAATGATTATCAAATTGAATCACCAATAAATATGGACAACTTTGGATTAATCTGGAACAGTAATCCAAGTAGCATCATTTACAACAAAGAATTCGAAGCAACACCTATTACCAAAGATGAAAACAATGATGAACTCAATGGTAATTCTATGGTAAAAAATATTTCCAATAAAGAAAACTCTTATGATTATTATGATAACTCAAGACTTGATCCTAGTTTTGAACAAATTAATACAGTACTGTCAACTGCAAATGCAAAGGCCTCTTCTGACATGTCACTATCTAAACAAACTAAGCATAGAATAGAAAATAACCTAAATGAATCTCAGTTTGCAGAAAACGAACCAATAAATAGACGTATAATATCAGATTATCAGCGGATAAAGGATTTACTTAATCTTCTCAGTTTTAAAAGATTCACACCACTGGAAAAAACTACTTCTAGAATAACTAAAATGAAAAGTTTTAAACATAATCAAGAAACGGTTCTTTTAGTAAAATCACTTTTAGAAAACCCTAGTAAAAGAAATATCAGGAAATTAAATAAATCTAGTAATACTTTTAAAAAGATGTGTACTAAAATTACTTCAAAACCAACAACAGCCAAGTTTACTTCACTTCAAGCATCTTTAGATGACAAAAAACAAACGGGAAATTTAGAGACAACTACGCGCCGAAATCTACTCAGTAGAATCAAAGGAGCTACATTGAAATTTTTAGACAAATTAGATGGTACCGATAATTTCTTAATAGACGATAAAACTACTCCCGCTCGTGTGTACGGAAAATCAACATCAAGTAGACGAGTAGTTCGAAACCCAATGAGCACTAACACTCACAGTTCCATTAGATCTGACATCAAAAATGATGGTATTTTAATTGAACACACGACCGATGAAAGTATATTTAACTCTTTAACACTTGATAATTACATAAATGCCAAAGATGATAATATAAATAACTACGAAAATTCAGCAAATGCAATTGATTTTACAAACAATCCAGTATTGCCTGATATAATTAATAATAAGGAACTTCTGTTGTCGATTCTTGATTTTGAAACAAACAAGGTTAATGATGAGTGGGCAAAAATTGCATTAAAAAAATCAGTCAAGGATGAATCCGACAACGATGTGGATGACGTTGGCCAAACGATATTTCAACTAAATACTGAGGTTCTCATGTGAGTATATATAGTGAGTATCTAGAAGATTAGCAATGACATATTATTTTTCAAGTAATATTTGTAAAAAAAGTAGTTTTTTAATTTAATATATTTTTGTGTATGTTGTAGTACTTCAGACCGAATGAATCATGGTAAATTTTTAGGACAGAAAAAACGAAACAAGACACAACTGCAAATAGCTGTATTTATCATCAAACAAATGCAATCCAACACATTAAAAACACCAGCGTCAAGGAACGAAAAGTAGACTCTAAGATCATTGATCGCGAAACGGGAAAAAAAATTAAAACTGGATGCATTGGTTGCTGTAATAAAACAGATAGTGTGGGCTGGAATAAAATAGATCGTGAGGGTGGAAACAAAACAGATGGAGACAGCGTTAACAAAATAGATCGTGAGGGCAGTAATAAAACAGTTTGTGAGGTTGGTAGTAAAACGGTTAGTGAAGGTGGTAATAAAACAGTTAGTGAGAGTGGTAATAAAACAGTTGGTGAAGATGGTAATAAAATAGTTGGTGAGGGACATAATAAAACAGTTATTGCCGGTGGTAATAAAACAGTTGGGGCAGACAGTTGTAATAAATCAGTTGGTGAGGTTAGTGGTAATAAAACAGCTGCTGAGTTTGGTGGTAATAAAACAGCTGCTGAGTTTGGTGGTAATAAAACAGTTGGCGAGATTGGTGGTAATAAAACAGTTAGTGTGGGCGGTGCTAATAAAACAGCTGGTGAGGCTGGTGGTAATAAAACAGTTGGCGAGATTAGTGATAATAAAACAGTTGGTATGGGTGGCAGTAATAAAACAGTTGGTGAGGTTTGTGGTAGTAAAACAGTTGGTGGGGTTAGTGGTAATAAAACAGTTGGTGTGGGCAGTGGTATTAAAACAGCTGGTGATGTTGGTGGTAATAAAACAATTGGTGAATTTGGTGGTAATAAAACAATTGGTGTGGGTGGTAGTAACAAAACAGTTGGCGGGGTTGGTGGTAATAAAACAGTTAGTGTGGGCGGTGGTAATAAAACAGCTGGTGACGTTGGTGGTAATAAAACATTCGGCGAGGTTGGTGGTAATAAAACAGTTGGTGTGGGTGGTGGGAATAAAACAGTTGGTGATGGTAGAAATAAAACAGTTGCTGAGTGTGGTAATAAAGCAGTTGGTGTGGGTGGTGGTAATAAAACAGTTGGTGTTGGTGGAAATAAAACAGTTGCTGATTATGGCAATAAAACAGTTGGTGATGGTGGAAATAAAACAATTGCTGAGTGTGGTAATAAAACAGTTGGTGTTGGTGGAAATAAAACAGTTGCTGATTATGGTAATAAAACACTTGATGGTGGAAATAAAACAGTTGCTGAGTGTGGTAATAAAACAGTAGGTGTGGGTGGTGGTAATAAAACAGTCGGTGTTGGTGGAAATAAAACAGTTGCTGATTGCGGTAATAAAACTGTTGGTGTAGGCCATAATAAAACAGTTGGTGAGTGCGGTGGAGTTCATTGTTACGACATTAAGAAGGACTTGCCAAACTTGGAGTTGGACGTACCAACTGAGCTCACCTCTACGAAAGTGTACAAAGGTTTTTTGAAAAAGTTCATCCACAAGTTTGCCATCAAGGTTGTTCCGAATCAGCGGAAGAGCAAGGTGAGTTGCACATTATCTGCTACAACTGCTATTTACATGTTGCATAGATTCATTTACCTAAAAAGCTATACAATTTTATTTTTAATAACCCAACGAAATTTCTGCTCCAGTCGGTTTGGTCAGGTTAGTTTGGTTCTGTCACAAATAGGTCGAAACTTCTGCTCAGCTAAAACTAATTTTGTATTCTAGCTGACCCTATCTAATATATTTAAAATGGCTGTTTTTGTAACGAATAATTTAATGAATCTAACGTTTTATATTTTTACCTAATTATGTATAAAATTTAATATTTCTTATATTTACGTAACTAATACACATTGGCAAAAGTAACGAGAATTGGGTATAGAGAAAAATTGTATGAAGTATAAACTTCTCTGGTTAAAATCGATTGCTTTTTATGCAGTATCATAATAAATGAACGGTTAATTTAATCAGTAACTAAAAATTAACGCAAAAAATTAAGCGAAGTGTAAAGTTTCAATTAAACGAAAAAGAATCTGTTACCTGTTAGGTGTAATTGGATTTTAGAGATTCACGAAATATAAAATATTTACCTACACACGAAAACAAGCATTACTTAATAATTTCTTAATTTTCGACTTGTTTAAATAATTTGATGGTCGAGTGTTTGTATGGTGTATATATTTTTCAAAAAATACATATATTTTTTTAATGTCAAATATTAACAACCGCGGTCGTTCGTCAAGAAATCTGAATTTCTTCCTACAAATCATAGTAATAGTTCTGTACCACAATTTAGCTGATGAGTTGATAAAATTAATAACGACTAGGTACTTAGTGTTACAGTTTAGAACACACCAAAACCATCTTAATACCTTTATGAAGGCAGGCAAACCCCAGTCGAAGGAGCGGCCGAAAGGACGATCGTTTAAAAGAACGACGCCGTACAGCAAGCGACCCGGCGGCAAGGGGCACTACAAGATGAACAGTAATAGGACAGCCATCGGTAACCGTTAATGTTTTACGTTATATTATGTTAAAAAAACTCTTCGAGAGTTGGCAGCAGCCGATGTGGGTCCTATAATCATTTTCAATGGAACAAATGGAGAAATAGCATTTGTTAACATTTTTCATTTGGCGATTCGAAAACATTTTGCTTTTCCCGACTAATAGGTGAAAGGTTTAAAAAATTTATCTCTTTATTTAACTTTTTATCTACTTTAGTGTGTGCTATTGTCCGGAAAGTGCCACTGTTTCACAGAGGACCAGCTTAAATTAGAAGTGTTTATTGATTTTGCCTTTCGTCTGTTGCAAAGGTTGCGCCCTGTTGGCCTCTTGTGGATATATTGTAGATTTTCACGAGCGTTAGTCATTATGATGAGGTCATCAGGTGAGCTTCTTGTATAAAAATAAAGATAGTAGATAAACAATATTCTTGATTAACATCACACAACAACATGGAATGTTAAATTTGCTCTTCCTCAGAGCCTTGTAAGACTAACAACAAAGGTCAGAAGCAAACAGCGAAAGGCGCCCACAACACTACAGAAAAACCGAAAATAAAAAAAGAAAATGAAACCTCTTGCGTTCCCAACGTTACTGAGACGGTGAGTAAACTGAATCTGACTTGAATATTAATAATATAATAATAAGCCTTATTTATTATTTATTATATATATTATATATATATATATATTTATATATATTTATTATTTCTCATTTTCATGCAGTTTTACATTAAATGATTACATTCAAAAGATAGTAAGTATTATTCAATTCAGTTCAATAAATAGTATTATTATTATGTCCATTAATATATTTTATAACAAGTTAATTATGGTAAATTTATTTAAACTATATTTCGAATTATTATTTGTAAGTATTTTAATCATTAATAATAAATTTACACCTAAATTTGAAATGCTTCAATGAGAACCCCTTTCTAGGGTAACGGCCTCTTCCATTTTTTTCCATTTTGTTCTGTCTCTAGTCTTCGTTCACCATTAATTGTCTCCTGCTATATCTTCAATATCATCGACCCATTTCCTCGATGCTCCTCCTCGTTTCCTTTTTCTCTTGGGTCCAGTCCATAGTATGGCCCAACTCGTCCATCGGCCATCCTCTATTCCAGCTAAGCGACCTGCCCACTTCCACTTCATTTTCATGGAGTGGTGTAAGAAATCTATTAATTTTGTTCTTGCTCTTATGTTAGCATGGCGTACTTTATCTTTCTTTTCTTATTCCTAGTGTAGTTCTTATCATTCCTAGAATAGATCTTTCCATGGCAGATTGACATATTCTGATTTTTTCTTTGACATTATTTGTTGACATCCATATGTAGTAGTAAATATATATAAAACCTTTATATCTGAACAGAAAACTGATCTATTTTATGCATAATTTACTGCTCATGTTTTGTATTTTAAACATAATGTCACCCCGTGCTCTGGATGGTCTCCCTCGTTTTCTTTCATTGTTACTTGTAAGCAAGTACATTACATTTGGCCACGTTTCTTCACCCTTAATTGTATGTTCTGCCCCTTAGAATACTCAAATACTATTCTTTTCCTATTATAAGTAAAATTTATTCGTTTTCCACTTATTTGGTAATCATACCAAATTACCAACCGAAACCCAAAGCGACCGCTCGGATACATCAACCGCGTAACGTCTTCATCGACCCGCTTAAGGAATTATCCGGGACAATGTACGGGACAAAATTCCGTAGTCCGGGTCCCGCCCAACAACACTATAAAACCACAGCCAAAGCAACAATGCGTACACAGGGTACATACAGTTACCGCGCGAGTTGAATGCAGAGCTCGGGAGTGTGATAGTTATATGACCTAATTATAATTATTGATGACCATAATGAATGTGTGAGACATGATGAAAAATTCTAAAACTATTTCAGAAGACGAAATAAAAAGAACCATTAAATTTTAATAATCGTCAGATTCAGAAATGGCAGACATGGTTGAATCGGTGTCACTATCCTCACCGTCGCTGACCTCAATTACGAATTGATCTATGATAACTTCAATTAATCTGCCTCTTTGCCCATAATTTTCTTCTAAAATTATGACGTGATAACCGAATCCACGCCAATCTTCCTCTGTGACCTAAGCGCCAGCTCCGTAACTTAACCTTTTTAGGGATAGAGATTGCCATATGTGGTAGCGGTACCGTGGCTCCGTGGCCAAGGTATTGGCTCCGGCGATAGTTGTTCCGCATCTGGGTGTTTGTCCGCGTGAAATTTATGTCTGTAAAACTTCCTTACAACACAGAATAATGTTATCCTAAAGTGAGGGCAACGTTTTTTTTTTTATAAACAAAGAAAGCAAACGATAAAAGAAAGTGGCGTACTTCTCAAAATTTACGCTGTTCATCTGCCGGTAAATCACCAGAGGTACCAGCATTAAAAAGTCGTTTTGCCCCATTTAAAAAGGGTTTATGGAGTAAATTTTTCACAAATAATTTGAACATGCATATGCAACAGCTGGTCTTTCCACCAGAATTCTGCGTTTATTACGACATTTAAATCATTTATATCCCATGTCGTTTAATAATTTTATTAAACGTGACCAGTTTAAGTGTCCCCGTGGAAACTCTAGGGGAAAAGCTAGGGGTACGAGTCCTACTTTGAATGAAGCTTTTATAATCAGAAAGCTGGAACATAATTCAATACAGATTAAGCTATATTCGAGTAAACTGAGTGCTAATCGCGTTGTAAGGTAGTGGCGTTGATTGACCAATGTAGTTGTAAGTTGCCAAAATAGTGTTACCAGTGAAAAAAAAACAGTAGTAGTGAAGTAAAACACACGTAATATCCGTGCACCTACCTCACTTTTCTCTACACCACCCTAGTTGACTGGTAGAGAATGCCACTTGCATTAAGTCCGCCTTTGTACAGTGTGTGCATGAAGATTAAATAAATAAATAAATAAATAAATAGTAAGGAAACCTTCATATTATCGGAATAATTTCATTTAAAATACTAATTAAAAATCAGCAGTGGGTCTCTAATAATATTATATAGGGACTTTCGGTACAATATTGACATAATTTATATCAGTTTCTCATATTCATCTAGATTAGAGTTTTTATCAATAGTTCGATTCTATTGAGCGAACAACGAATTAATTGAATTCATTATATTAATATAATAATTATTATTGCATTACAGGTGGATCACCCGAATAAAACCGAAGGTGTTTATAAAAACAACACAGAAGATGGAGGTATCGTTGATTAAATTCTAATAACAATTGACCAGTGGTCGAAATTCGCCATTTAGTCTTTTCGACAATTTCAAACTCTTTAGCAACAATATTAATTCTGTGCGACTGAAACTTGTATCGTATATACATTGATATTATCAACGTGAACAACAAATGTTTTCTTTTTTTTTTATGTTATGTATTTATTTGTAGCATATATTGTAGATCGGTTGATTTTAGCCATCTGCTCATCTTCTATACATACAGTTCTATACATAAGACCTGGGAGTTCCATTAGACTCGAAACTTCAAAATTTTAATACTTTCACTTCACGCGTCTTCTGTGAAGCCGTGGTACTTCTCCGGACGAGCCTGCCCATTCGTGCAACAGTAGAAGCTGTTGCGTGGCCCTACCACAGTTGATATGATTGGTACATTGGTGGTATATTGTGGATATTACAGATTTTCAAGAGCTTTACTTAATCTGATGAAGTCATCAGGTGAACTGATAGCTCGTACAGTACCTTTTCGCATGCAAATACTTAGTAGGGAAATAATATTCTTGATTCACATCACACAACAACACATGCTAGGAAAGTGCCACTGAGTTAGGTTAGGTTAGGTTTCACGGAGGACCAGCTTAAATTGGAAGTATTTATTTGATTTTGTCTTCCATCTATTGCAAAGGTTTCATGCTGTTAGCATCTTGTGGATATATTGTTGATATTCACGAGCATCACTTATTATGATGAGGTCATCAGGTGAACTGATACTTGCATAAAAAGACCTACAGTTCTGTAATGTGAATAAAAAAAACAGTATTCTTGTTTCACATCAAAAAATCAGCAGTGGGTCTCTAATAATATTATATAGGGACTTTCGGTACAATATTGACATAATTTATATCAGTTTCTCATATTCATCTAGATTAGAGTTTTTATCAATAGTTCGATTCTATTGAGCGAACAACGAATTAATTGAATTCATTATATTAATATAATAATTATTATTGCATTACAGGTGGATCACCCGAATAAAACCGAAGGTGTTTATAAAAACAACACAGAAGATGGAGGTATCGTTGATTAAATTCTAATAACAATTGACCAGTGGTCGAAATTCGCCATTTAGTCTTTTCGACAATTTCAAACTCTTTAGCAACAATATTAATTCTGTGCGACTGAAACTTGTATCGTATATACATTGATATTATCAACGTGAACAACAAATGTTTTCTTTTTTTTTATGTTATGTATTTATTTGTAGCATATATTGTAGATCGGTTGATTTTAGCCATCTGCTCATCTTCTATACATACAGTTCTATACATAAGACCTGGGAGTTCCATTAGACTCGAAACTTCAAAATTTTAATACTTTCACTTCACGCGTCTTCTGTGAAGCCGTGGTACTTCTCCGGACGAGCCTGCCCATTCGTGCAACAGTAGAAGCTGTTGCGTGGCCCTACCACAGTTGATATGATTGGTACATTGGTGGTATATTGTGGATATTACAGATTTTCAAGAGCTTTACTTAATCTGATGAAGTCATCAGGTGAACTGATAGCTCGTACAGTACCTTTTCGCATGCAAATACTTAGTAGGGAAATAATATTCTTGATTCACATCACACAACAACACATGCTAGGAAAGTGCCACTGAGTTAGGTTAGGTTAGGTTTCACGGAGGACCAGCTTAAATTGGAAGTATTTATTTGATTTTGTCTTCCATCTATTGCAAAGGTTTCATGCTGTTAGCATCTTGTGGATATATTGTTGATATTCACGAGCATCACTTATTATGATGAGGTCATCAGGTGAACTGATACTTGCATAAAAAGACCTACAGTTCTGTAATGTGAATAAAAAAAACAGTATTCTTGTTTCACATCACACAACAACATGGAATGTTAAATTTGCTCTTCCTCAGAGCCTTGTCGGATTAACAACAAAGGTCAGAAGCAAACAGCGAAGGGCGCGCACAACGCTACTGAAAAACCGAAAATAAAAAGTGAAAATGAAACCCCTTGCGCCCCGAACGTTACTGAGACAGTGAGTAAAATTAGTCTGACATGAATATTGATCACAAACATATTTTAAACTTGTCAGATTATTAGCAGTAAGAACCTCTATATTCCAGAAAATGTGTTAACTTATCTATTGTATTCATTAATTTCCTGCTTATATTTTGTACTTTAAACACATTAATCTCTGACCCCGTGCTCTGGATGGTCTGCCTCGTTTTCTTTCATTGTTATTTGTAAGCCAGTACATTACTTTTGGCCACGTTTCTTTACCCTTAATTGTATGTTTAAAAACAGCAGCGTGTTTCCACTACAATTATGCCGGAACTTTCGGTATAATATTGACATAATTTCTACCAGTTTTTACATTCATTTACTTTTTATCAACAGTACGATTATATTGAACGACCAACTACATAATGTTTCTTAATATAATAATTATTTTATTGCGTTACAGGCGGATCACCCGAATAAAACCGAAGGTGTTTATAAAAACAACACAGAAGATGCAGGTATCGTTGACTAAATTCTAATAATAATAATTGACCAGTGGTCGAAATTCGCCTGTTATTCATTATATTTTGAATTCAATGAATTATTATTTTTATCAAACTCATTCAGTCAATTTGACCGAGTTTATATTGACTGTACGACTGACACTAGTATCATATATTTGACATTTGACGACCAGATTGGCGTCGTGGATAGTGGACCTGTCTTCTGCGCCAGATGGTGTGGGTTTGATCACGTCTACTGGAAAATTATTGTATGATGAAAAGTCTTTTCCCAGTGTCTGGGTGCTTATATATCTATAATATGTATTTATTTAGAAAAGAAAAGTATGTTTATCAGTTACCTAGTATCCATAATAGAAGCCTTGCCTTGGGAATTTGTAACTAACATGTAAAAATATGTCCTGAAATATTTATTTACGTTTTTCACATTGATAGTATGAATATGTACTTAATCGTATTATATATTGTAGACTAATTTTAGCCATCTGTTCTTCTTCTCCACATCCACATCAATATTAACCATGCTAATCCTCACAGTCTTCCATGACGCAATACTATTAAAAGGGGATCTGAAATATTTTCCTCGCGTGAAAGTTACCCAAGTGACTAATATTACATTTTACTGTAATGTTGATCTTAAAATTCTTCTGTAATGGAATGGAATTTGTTAGTAAATGATTATTACACACGACAAGCAATCGGGTTCTAATTCGAGAGGCGATCATGAAAACTGTTATGAATTTTGATTTAAATTGGCAGTATGTAGTATTTCCGAAAATTTAAGAGAACGTCAATATTATTTATGAATAAATTAAAATAATTATTAAGACATTTCAAAATTTTTTTATAGTGCTAATCTCTGCACTTAAGATTAAAATTTGTAGTATAGGTACGAAAAAATTGTCGTCGCTGTGGGAATAGAACCCTATTTTGCTTCAAATGTTAAAAAACAACGTAGATAAAAGACGTTATAATTTCCTTCGGTGTGGCAATCAGCCATTAAGCTTAGTGGCTAAAGCGTCAGGCCGCGAATGCCGAATACGTGGGTTCGACATCAGGTGAACTGATAGCACGTGTCCCACCTACTTGCGTAAAATACCTAGTAGACAAACAATATTCTTGATTCACGTAACACAATAACATGGAATGTTAACTTTGCTCTTCCTCAGAGCCTTGTCAGACTAACAACAACGGTCAGAAGCAAACAGCGAAGGGCGCTCACAACGCTACGGAAAAATCGAAAATAAAAAACGAAAATGAAACCTCTTGCGCCCCCAACGTTAATGAGACGGTGAGCAAAATAAATCTGACCTCAATATTGATCACAAACATATTTTAATATAGTTTAAACTTATGTCAGATTAATAGCAGTAAGTATACAAACTTTATATTCTAGAAAATGTGTAAACTTGGCCTGCCTGGTTTTCTTTCATTGTTATTTGTAAGCCGAGTACATTACTTTTGGCCACGTTTCTTTACTCCTAATTGTATGTTCTGCCCCTTAGAATACTTAAATTCTACACAAGTTTCCTAATAAATAAAATTTATTCGTTTTCCACTCATTCGGTAATCGTAGCAAATTACCAATCGAACCACAAAGTGACCGTTCGGAAACGTCGACCGCGTAACGTTCTCATCGACCCACCCTCTCAAGGAAGGCGTCAAAAGGGGACAAACAATTCTGGTCCCGACAGACAACACTACTCACGTCAAAGCAACAGCATTCCAGGGCGATTCACAATCAACAAACAGCATTCAATCACATCAGCCATCGGGTCCACGGTCCACACCGAACTCCGTAGATTCCTACCTCACCGCTTCCTACCTCATCGCCTTTATAATCTGAAAGCGAGAACATAATTCAATAAAGATTAAGCTATATTGGAGTAAACTGAGAGCCAATCGCGTTTTTAGGTAGTGGCGTTTATTTACCAATGTAAGTTGTAATGTAGTGTTACCAGTGAAAAAAAAATAAACCTTCATATTATCCGAATAATTCAATTAAAATCAGCAGTGGGTTTCCAATAATATTATGTACAATACTTATAGTACAATATTAAGACAATTATTACCAGTTTCTCATATTAGAGTTTTATCAATATTTCGATTATATTGAACGAGAAACTACGTAACGTTTCTTAATGTAATAATAATTATTATTGCGTTACAGGTTGATCACTCGAATAAAACCGAAGGTGTTTATAAAAACAGCACAGAAGAAGGAGGTATGTTTGAATAAATTCGAATTGTAATAATAATAATAATAATTGACCAGTGGTCGAAATACGCCATTTAGTAATTTTGACAATTATTTAAAACTATGGCAACAATATTAGCTCTGTGCAAGTGATACTATCATATGTTTTTACAAATTTTTACAGTATCATACGGTTGACAGTACGAAGGTGAACCACTAATGTGTCTTTGATGCTATGTATTTATTTTTATTATCCATATATTGTAGATGTGTTGATTTTAGTAGCCATCTGCACTTCTTCTCCACATCCACATTAATATTAACCATGCTAAACATCACACTTCCGTGCCGCAATACAATTCTTCTTGTATCTTGTATTAACTGATGTTTTTGTTTTCAGTCCCGAGACTATTAAAGCTTCATCTGACGCAGAACCGGTGGTCTAGCCAGAACCCACGGGTTTGGGTATACAATTCTTAAAAGGGGATCTGAAATACTTTCCGCGTGTAAAAGTTATCCAAGTGAATAACAATACTATAATGTAGATCTTAAAATAATTACTACATACGAAAACCAATCGGGTTCTAATTCGAGAGGCGATCATCAAAACTGTTATAAGCGTTTTATCGATATGAATTTTGATTTAAATTATCTGTAAAACTAATTGGCAGTATGTAGTATTTCCGAAAATTTAAGAGAACGTCAATATTATTTATGAATATATTAAAACAATTAGTAAGACATTTTAACATTTTTATAGTGCTAATCTCTGCACTTTAGATTAAACATTAAAACTTGTAGAAAAAGTACGAAAAGATTGTCGTCGCAACATTTGCTGACTTAACAACGTTGACTTATAACAACAAGTCTTATAAGCGTTTTATCGTTTTTAATTTTGATTTAAATTATCTGTAAAACCAATTGACAGTATGTAGTAGTTGCGAAAATTCAAGAAAATGTTATTATTACTTTTGAAGTTATTTAGTTATGAATATATTTAAACAATTAGTAAGACAGATTCTTTATTACTATTATCGTTTATTTTGGCTCGCATAATTTCGTGGCTTCAATTCCCACACGGTACAACTATTTGTGTAACCCACTGATAGTTGTTTCTAGGGATGGGTCGTATCGCGTTTTCTGAGTACCGTATCTGAATCCGATATCGATTTCAAATATCAGATTTCGAAACTATGTATTTTAATATCTAGATATTTTACGGTTCCCTATCCACGTTGATTAATTGAATTCTAAAAAAAAAAAAAAAAAAAAAAAAAAAAAAAAAAAAAAAAAAAAAAAAATGTATACTTTAAGGGAGTGGATATAAGATGAATGAAATAACTTCCCTTCATACTTTTTCCACGCTTAGGACTTGCTGCAATATTTCATACTTATTATAAATATAAAATTGTGCAGGCGTATTTAAAAGTTGATTCATTCTATGTACATAATTTTCCTTATATTTAAAACTTAACATTATATATTTACAATTATGTCAGGGTTTATAATTATTTATATCCCTCCGGGTTCAAATTCACGTTTAGGAACGTAAGCTCTCTGACTTTATTCGTCGAAACTCTTGTTCGACGATCATTAATAATTAACCCTGTCTTACTAAAAATGCGTTTTTTTAAATTATTAAATTAAAAATTTCATTAAAAATATAAATTGAAGTAATATAAAAATGATTTATTTTAACATCTTATATACCGCTTAATAATTGACTTTAACATATTTTTAGAACACGCAATCGAGTGGCAATATTTCTATTATTTGTGTAAGAAATAATACATTCAGTATTATAGCTTAGGGCGGAAGAATTTAAAATATACACACAAGGCACATAAGCCTTGGTCTGATTTCCACCAAAGCAGCACAGCACTATTAAATAATATTTTTCTTTTTGTGTACTTTTATTTTTTTTCCAAAAATATGAATAAAATTTAGCTAATAAAAATATTCACAAAAAATTTACCTCCTAAAAAATTTCCATTGTATATTTTTCTTCCTTAATTTAGGCAGAAAATTCTTAAGTAGTAAGTTGGCATCCCTTACTATTACGTGTTAAGTACCAATGCAATCCAGCTCAAGGCTGAACAAAATTTCAAAGACATCGTTAATACCGTAATTCGTATTTAAATGCAACAGAGTTTTTTTCCATGCTGTTAAGATTCAAAATTACTTAACTGCGCGCTTTGTCGCCCGTTACGGCTCAAGGCTAAACAAAACAATAAAAATATAATAATATCGTTGTAGTAATCGCTGATACCAAGATTAGTATTTAAATGAAACGGATCTTATTTGCATGGTGTTAAGATTCAAAATTACTTAACTTATTCATAATATCTGTTTAAAAATCTGATATCGTGCATTGCTTGCCGTCCCACTCTAACTAGTAAGTATTTATATCTCACGCGCTTTGTCGCTCGTTATCTGATATCGTGCATTACTTGCCGTCCCACTCTAACTAGTAAGTATTCATATCTCACGCGCTTTGTCGCTCGTTATCTGATATCGTGCATTGCTTGCCGTCCCACTCTAACTAGTAAGTATTTATATCTCACGCGCTTTGTCGCTCGTTATCTGATATCGTGCATTACTTGCCGTCCCACTCTAACTAGTAAGTATTCATATCTCACGCGCTTTGTCGCTCGTTATCTGATATCGTGCATTGCTTGCCGTCCCACTCTAACTAGTAAGTATTTATATCTCACGCGCTTTGTCGCTCGTTATCTGATATCGTGCATTGCTTGCCGTCCCACTCTAACTAGTAAGTATTTATATCTCACGCGCTTTGTCGCTCGTTATCTGATATCGTGCATTACTTGCCGTCCCACTCTAACTAGTAAGTATTCATATATCTCACGCGCTTTGTCGCTCGTTATCTGATATCGTGCATTGCTTGCCGTCCCACTCTAACTAGTAAGTATTTATATCTCACGCGCTTTGTCGCTCGTTATCTGATATCGTGCATTACTTGCCGTCCCACTCTAACTAGTAAGTATTCATATCTCACGCGCTTTGTCGCTCGTTATCTGATATCGTGCATTGCTTGCCGTCCCACTCTAACTAGTAAGTATTTATATCTCACGCGCTTTGTCGCTCGTTATCTGATATCGTGCATTACTTGCCGTCCCACTCTAACTAGTAAGTATTCATATCTCACGCGCTTTGTCGCTCGTTATCTGATATCGTGCATTGCTTGCCGTCCCACTCTAACTAGTAAGTATTTATATCTCACGCGCTTTGTCGCTCGATATCTGATATCGTGCATTGCTTGCCGTCCCGCTCTAACTAGTGAGTATTTGTATCTCACGCGCTTTGTCTCTCGAAATCTGTGTAAAAATCAGATATTGTGGCAAACGCGTATGATATCGCCGTATCGCGATTCGTGTCGGTATAGCGAGCGAGCACGGTACATCAGATTTCGGAAATATCAGATATTGTATAATACATAGATATTGAACGAGCCAGTAAGCGATATTGGGATATTGTACTAATATCTAGTTTTCATATCTGATACGATTTGTATCGCCCACTTCTAGTTGTTTCGTATCTGGGTGTTTTGTTGTTGAAATTTATGTTGCAGTAATGTTGTCCTAAAGTAAGGGCAATGTTTCTTAAAAAAAATGTATGGCCATAATTCACAGGTGAAATTATTTCGTTTAAAATTATCAAGCTGGTAAAGAATCATCCTGATAGACCTGTGGCCTACTAAATGTCAAATGCGGCGCACTTGTTATAACGCATTTAAAGCACACGAACTACGAGATTTTTTTACATTTTTTTTGTAAAAAGTTTTCAAGTGAGCAGACGGTTCACCTGATGCTAAATGAATACCACCGCCCATGGAAATCTTCAACAGCCGTGGCTTACACAAACAGGCGACTTTTAAAAATGTGGGCCCCGGCTCCTCACTCAGCAGATGAAACGCAAAAGTTTAACACTCACTTCATGCCGGTCTTCTGTGAGGCGGTGGTACTTCCCCGGTCGAGCCTGCCTATTCGTGCAACAGCAGAAGCTACTGCGTGGCACCAACCACATGAATTGTACACCTTGTATATCATGTATGAATGACAATTTTTACAAAACATCGCCCTCACTTTAGGATAACATTATACTGTGTTGTAAGGACGTTTTACAAACGTAAATTTCACGCGGACAAACACCCAGATGCGAAACAACTATCTGAGGGGGTCACACAAATAGCTGTCCAGTGTGGGAATCGAACCACGCCCGACGCCTGTATGATAACTAATAATTGTCTTCATTTTTATATTCGCACCGTCAATATTAATACTAATCGTTATTTCAAGAGGCCGATGAGCCAGTTGGGCTGACGTCCATGTGCGACATCAACGCGACCATGAGACACGTGCAGGAAGTGTACAACAAAATGAACAGAAGCGAGTTCGGTACGTACGTGAAGAACATCACGTGCGTCAAGTACAAGAGCGCACCGACGCTGTTCGAGATCAGCGCGAATTCGAAGAACGGGAAGAAGCCGAAGCATCGCGGGAAGAGCGGCGGCCAGAGGGACGCCGCTAAATCCAGATACAGCAAGTGGAACTGGATACGTGGCAAGAGGGCGTCGGGGCCCGTGAACGAGTTTGCCAATGAAGAGGATCGGACCGAGGTGGATTATGACTACGCCGGTGATGACGCCGGTGATGACGCCGGTGATAACGCCGGCGATGATGATTCGGTAGTACAAAATGTACCGGGGAGCGTGCAGTACGCCTTCGGACGAGACAGGGAGGACTATGACAGACTGTACTTGGGCGGTGATGGCATATACCGCATCAAGGAGAGCGAACGGAAGAGGCGAGCTGTCGACATGACCAGTGTCGTGAACAGCTTGAGGAACTTGCCCCCGCTGCGGCAATTGGTTGTGAGTGGTCAAATTACCTATCTTTAAAATTGAGCTACTTTTAATAATATCAATGACGCTGTTGTAATATTTACAAACTCGATTGAACCCGTCCATTTAGATTAGTAGATTCAGTTGTGCTAAGTTTGATAGTATTTGTCGATAATACGTACGAGTTACATCAGTTTATAAATCAGTGCCGACTGCGTGAATTAAATCTAAAGGATGCTGGTGACAAGCTTAGAAAACATATTTACGATAGTCAGTTCCAGAGTGCATATAAAGTATACTTGAGCAACTCTCAAATTCAGATACTGGTACCGCCGCTAACATAACAGTTAACAGTTCTGTTACACTCACCTCGAGCGGCAGACATGGGTTCTGGTAACCGGGAGCTCATACTCTCATTGGCTAGCAACACGTTTGTAACCGTTCTCTGATAAAATATAGGAATGAATGTTGAAATATAAGGTTAAGAAAGATTTAATTTAACAAACATTTCGACTATGAAAGCCAACCATTTAATCGTAAATTAGAATTATCTACCTTCTTTGCTGTGGCTTTTATGTACTCTAAAGAGTTTCTCGTTTTCGTCATAAATCTTGTGTAATATTTTGTCGCCAAATTGCAGGATGAAGTGTTCGTGTTGCGCGGCGACGCTGTAACGATTCAGTGCAATGTTACCAACATTCCACTGTTCAGCTGCACCAATATCTCTGACCTCTACCGCTACAGCTGGTCGGCCGAGAGGAGGTCGATGCTGAGCAGGTGGAACGTGAACATCGTTGGCCCCACCATGTCCATCAATCACGCTGAACCGAAGAACTTTGGGACCTACACCTGTCACCGGGTAACCGTAGACTTGACGATCATTTTCAACTATAAATCGCTACACCGTTATATTTTGGATAACTTGATACACATCACGTTAGGGGGCGTTCAAGTATTACGTAACGAAATTTGGAGGTTGAAGGGGGGGGGGGGGGGGGTGCTTGGAAAACGATACGTTGCGCTATTTACAACTAACATTATTTTTAAAAAATATATTTATTTAAAAAAGTAGTGAAATAAAATCTTCGAAAGGCTTCCGTTTCTAAATGCATAACATTTAGGGGGATAAAAATAGATGTTGTCTGATTCTCCACCCTGGCCGATATGCACACAAAATCTCACAAAAATAGGTCGAGCCGTTTCGGAGGAGTTCAATTACAAACACCGTAACACGAGAATTTTATATATTAGATTAGCTGGCCCGCACAACTTCGTCTTCACCAAATCTACCGGGTCTAATATATTAACCTCTGAATGAATAATAATCTCTTTCAAGACTCAATGCTATACATGGAGAAGTTTCATGCGTTTTCATTCTTCATTCTTGATTTGAGTAATGTTTATAACGCCGCATCGGACGGAAGAAACTGTAAAAGGCATGCGTGCATGCTCCAGACACTTGTGGTGATCTCGACTAATGTAGGAGAAAATAAAAACACAGTAACTTTTAATATTAATGTAACTATCTTGGCGATGTGTATTTTCAGGACAAAATCGTTACCAGAAGCGTCAGACTGAATGTCATTGATATACCCAATTTCAACATTGTGTTTACACCTCTGTACAAATGCTCGGGGGATTGCACTTACGAGGTATTATATTCATAGATTTATTTTTGAAATTGAGTTATTTATAAATTTATTTGTGTACCATATACCATTTTTATATTATACAGTGTTGTTTATGTATTTTTGACTTGCTACTTTGGTTTTTTCTTATAGCTATAATTTCTTTTTCTTTTTACGAATGTATCCACTTCCATTTCTCCCATAAAGTTGAAAACATTATAACTTAAACTAAAATTGTAATAGCCAAAAGTATTAATTAAGCGTCACTAGCCTTACGAGTCTTCGTAGTTTTGTGTACTTATATGATAGCGAGTGAATACAACCGATTTTATAAGCATAGATTGGTCCCAATTTATTGTTGATTGTTGTATGGGCATTGACCATACTCCCTTCACATCCCAAAGGACCTTGAGAATGTGCAAAAGTTGGAGAACGTGATTTCAAAATCCGAGAGCGGTTGCGGCGAAGAGTACAGCACGATTCGAGTCGATCATCCAGTCTGCTTATCAAATAAGGTGAGGAAGGTTCAAATAACAAATTCTCATTTGGCTCTTTCGCACCTTCTTTTTTTTCTCTGTTTATTTATCCGTTGACTGATATAGAACACCTAATGGTGTTAAGTTCGACTTTCAGATTGTGCAAAAAGTTTTTAAATAAATAAATAAACACAGTCGACATATAATTGTTTCGTATATTTATTCTACACAGTTTTGCTTACGTAACGTGGTAAATTAAATTGTTATATATCAATGATACGGCAATACTCCGATAATACACTACAGCAGAACAGCGATCATGACACAAACATCATCGTCAAAACGCAAACTAATATCGATCCTTTCTATCCATCCTTTCGATTCACTACTTAAATGTTACTAAAATCACTTTATTATTTTAAAAAAAATATAGGTACATACGAAAACAAAAATGAGGACGCCTGGCAGATGTGAAACATCGACATTATTTTGTAAAAGTAATATGCAGAAAAGAACAGATTGTGATAGAAACTAAATATGTCATAATGATAAGATAGAATATGACGATTTTTTTTCCAGATAACGACGATTATTTATTGAATAAACATTTATTTTCATTACATACAAAAATTTACGAATTTATTTTAAATCGTGACTACTTAATTCGTTCAGTGACTTCGGTAATAGTACACACAATTAATTAAAGTTAATTTAATTAATTAATAAATATTAAATAATTATTAACAGTTAATTTAAATTTGAGTAATTAATCGTACACACTACTGCATATAGACCGTATATATATACCATCATATAGAGTGGCGACGCGTCGCCACGGCATGCGTCGCCACGCCAGAAATCGGTTTTACGTGCGACTATAGATGTTTCACATCAAAATACATTCGTTACCGTTTCTTAGGCTGATCTATATTTGCTAACCGATGGTATTGACAAAAAGTTAGATAATACCACAGTCTATAAAAAGATAATTTAAGTACTTATTTCGATTTTGGATTTGACAACACATCTATAAGTGATGAAAATAGATTGTTTGATTTGGATGTTAAGATTATTGTCATGCCGTTTATAACCTATTACTGTTCAAATTATACATACACTTTGTATACTTCTTTGTATTCAACGACAGCACAATTAACTATTTAGCTCATATTATACACATTTTCCAAATGCGGTTTGGCCTCGCAACGGCTACCGCTGCTAAACGAATCGGCAGACTCGTTGACTAAGTACCGACGCGGAAGACCGGCGTGAAGTAGGTAGTAGTAATTGTATTTTTGCGTTTTGTCTGGTGATTTAGGCAAACGGGGCCCACTATATTTAAACGTTGGCAATGAATCTGCAAACTATGGTTTTGTAGATGTCCATGGGCGGGGGTAACCAATTAACACCAGGTGAACCGCGAGCTGGATAGCCAAATTTTCACAAAGAACATCTTAGCCAGATCATGAGAATGACGCTTGCAGGATAACGAAGACTTCATGAAGCCCACGGTGGTGATCACGCCATCACCGCCATTGCTGGTGAACTGCGGCGTAGAATGCCAAAGGGACTTGACGTGCTCCTTGGCTCTGCTCTGGGCCAAGAATGTTCCGGCCTTGGGTAACGTGAAAGGTATGCCAAATTGGCTAATTCAGAAGGGAACTAAGTAATGTTTGTTATGTTATTTTTTCTATATTACATCACGTATTTACTTACAACAGACAATTATGTTCAATACAAACTTTAGCACGGAACGCAAGATAAAATTGCGTTGACGCCCAGTTTTTAGAAATGTTTAAAGACGATCTCATTGGCAAGTAGTTTTAAATTCATTACGAAACCTTATGACAAATGGACATACAATAAGCCGAAAACACGTGTTTAAATAATACACTGTCCCGTTACTATGAAAGGGTTGGAAACGTCGGGAAATTAAAAATCTAATTAAACGCGATAAAATCCGTAAAATAGTACAAAAATATGATGTTGGGATTCATTTCCTTTAAAATGTTTTCAGTTATTATTACGTACGAAAATCTGAACAACACCTTGACGCCGGAAGATTTGGGCGGCAGCTTCTCAGACCTGGTCCTGATAAAGGCCCTGAAGTGGAAGGGTAGGCGCTTTCGTGATTCTTTTTCTTTGCAAATCCAATAAGAATCTAGAATAGATGTAAAAATTATCAACAAAATCTGCACTTACCACAATTTATCTCCATGCCCCAGGTTGACTGGGAGAGGATGCCATGAATTGCAATGATATTATTTACAAATACGGGGTAGACATGACACTAGCACACCGAAACTGAGGCACTCAAATTACACCAATTGGTGTAATTCGACTGCAATTACATAGACGAGTCTTTCCGCATCATAATTATGTTCTATATCATCTGTCACATTCACTTAATGTCATATAATGTAAAGCGGAGCAACTTTTAAACATCGCGCCAATATTTTAAATTCGTTATCGGATTGCAATAGCGTATTAATTATATAATTAAAGTATAAATAAATATATAAAATAAATTTCTGCATGTAATCTTCATAATTTCTCTAATAAAACAGTGTTTCCTAGACGACATTGGCAGTGTCCTAGTCCTTAGTTGTGCCTAATTAGAGAAATATTTAGCGACGAGGCACGACGGCACTATAATATTATTTCAACTCTGACACATTTACGTAGTACTATCTATACTGCATTTGTTGGCTGTTGTGTGGCCGTGCCCTACAGAAGACTGGTCTTTAGTAAAAGTATTTATACTTTAGCTTATTGTTTGTTAACTGTGATAGCTGAAGGCTTCCTTTTGATAAAAAAAAGTAATCCGCTACGCTCTCTATTTACTCATTGGCACAGGTCTTTGATTATGTACATCTTTGATTATGACAAATACTTTCGCGTTTCGTCTGGTCAGTGAGGTAGCCGGAGCCCAATTTTCAAAAGGTTGTCAACGCATCTGTAACCCACGGGTGTGGCAGATGTCCATGGGCGGCGGTATTCACTTACCATCAGGTGAACCGTCTGCTCGTTTGGCAACTTTTCACATAAAAAAAAGTCACACTTTTGTCTTTGATTACATACTTGACAAGTATATATATATAATCAATTGCGCCCGTACCTTATACCTACCATCAGGTTATAACTGCACCATGTTATATAATATTGTAAACTGATATTTTAAAAAAAAGAGCAACTGTTGAGTTTCTCGCCGGTATCTTCTCAACAGAAATTGTTTTTCCGAACCGGTGGTAGCTTAAGAACTTTGTATCGATTTTCATGTGAAATTCAACGTCTCATGAGAACGAGCAAGCGTCTATTTGAATAAAGATATTTTCGAGTTTGAAATTAATTTGAAACAATGTGGCCCCAAGATACGAACGGACACCATGAGTACCGACGGCTGTCTATGATGATGCAGCCGGGAGACGTGGACGTGGTGGTGGCTTGCCCGGCCGGTTTCTACCTCATTGCGGACCAGAAGATCTGCGGTAAAGTGAAACACTAGTTTTTTTTTCTTGTCAAATAAAATTCACTTTACTGCAGCCTTGCTGAAGGGTTTTTTTATTTACTACTATTACGTAGATATGCGAAGTCTGCAGTGGGGTCGCGTGGCGCAATGCGCCCATTAGGGCCAGGTCAATGAGCAGGCAGCCTTAGACGTCGGCTGTGGCAGCGAGCGGTCGACGCTCGTACACATTACCACCGTTGGTCATGCTGTGCCGACCCCATCTAGTGTGCGATAAGGGCAGGAGAAAGAGCCGCTCCGCTCTGCCGCTACGCCACGCGTCAACGGGCAGGCTGCCTTAGACGTTGGCTGTGGCATGAACGGTCGACGCTCGTATACATTACCACCGTCTGTTGCAGCCGTGTGCCCCGCCAACACGTGCTCCTCCGCCGGCGAGAACGTGTGCTCGGCCTGCCCCTGCGGCACCCACTCTGAGCCCGGCGCCTCCGCCTGCCGCCTCGGCCTCGGCCGCCTGCACAGGTACGATGTACGTACTGCTGTCTCCATACGTAACACGTTAATTCTGCTCCTTACAAACTTGGGTTCGACAACTATGTCAAAAAAAAAAAAACAATAAAAAACGTGCATTAAATGACAAAGATCGGGTATTTTGTAATCACCTGTATAAAATTCTTTGTGTGAAAAATTGACAATCTTAATACGCCCACGAATCGGTCAATTGATGAATTCAATAAGCGTTCACAATTCAATTATTGCACGAGACATATGACAGTTGTAGTTGTCTCGTCACCATATATGCTGTTAACATTATTATAAGACTAATGAAATTTAAATATGCATATAAGCCTCGTATTTAGTTCAACAATATCATTATTACTATTATTATGCGTTTAATTGATAAAATATTGTTAAGTAAGAGATTTCATAGTTCTTTCTTTTGTCTAGTGACGTGGCGGGCGATTAAATATTTTAACGGTTGGCAACACCTTGTGACTTCGGAGGTGTCCATTCGTGGCGGTCGTCACATAACAACAGGCGAGGCGTGACCGTTCCTCTTTCGATCCCCCTAAAATAGTACACAAACAATGCACAATACACTAGGTGTCGATTAAACAAATGACCTAACCGCATGCAGTGCTAACGCGTTGCAGTGGCAGTGGCAGTGGTGCGCGTGGCAGTGGTGCGTGGTTGTGTGCGGCGTGGTGTGCGTTGGCTGCGTGGCGGCGGGGCTGGGCGCGCGCCGACAAGCCCCGCCGGCGAGCGGCCGCCAACCCGCCGCTACAACCGCGCCCCTAAGTATTGCGCTTGCGCTGACCTTCACGGCACCCACGGACCACTGCCCCCGCTCTCATGCAAACGAACCCTTCACCTATATCTATGAATCTGAATCTTTGTTTCCTCGGCCGCGAACGACCATCGAATCTTCTAGATCGGTCCCGTATGAGATACGCCATTTGCGGTTGACTTTTTGCACTCCCTTGCAAACTCTCCTCTCTATTGTGGCGTAATGAGATGAATAGTCGATGCTTTATTTCTTTGTCCCGTCACTGTTTGTATGCTTTTTGAGCTCTGTCGCCTCCGAACGTTGCCGATTTGGAACCGAGACCGCGTCGTTGCAACAGATCTGACGGTTCCCTCTCGGTGCGTTGCTCCTTCGTTTCAAAACGGACGAGAGCGACTTTCCGAGTGTGAAGGACCAGTAAAATGTTTAATAATATATTCCAGTTTGAGAGCTTGGACTGAGATTTAGTTTGGATGAAGTTTTGTGTTGTGACGCGATGATTTTGTGTGCACACTCGACAGTCGCGCATCGTCGGTCAAGCACGGGGAGGCGAAGGGCGCGCAGACCGCTCTCACCATCACGCGTGCTCCTAGAAAGACTGTTCAAACATTCTCCATCGTCTTCTCGGGCTACTGGTAAGTTGTCCTCTCCACGCGATATTTCGACATCATCTAGGTAATAGCTTTTGGCTGGGTTTTTGTTACAACATACCTGACGTCAACTCTGCTTCGGAACACACTCGGATCCGGAACAAATCTGTGGATTGGTTGGTCGTTAACGACATAAATTAATACAAATAGTTCGAGCTTTGAAACTTCGGAACTTGAAGAGTTGGCAAGTGTTGGCACCTCATGGAAATCTACAACACTTAAGCGGTTGCAGATGCGTAGCCAATCTTTAGAACAGTGATCTCTGGTTTTTTCTCACTCGCCAGACGAAACGCGAAAGTATAAAATTTCCACTTCACGGCGGTCTTCTGCGACCACATTTGTTGTTTTATTTATTATTTTATTAGTAAAGTTTACTGCCTATATATGTTCCTCTGCCATGCAGAGGCCTCCTCTGTACAGAGGATTATAGGCGTCCATCATTAAACAATTAGTGCTTGCTATCTTGTTCCATACTCACTTCGCACATGCAGTTAAGAGTTAATAATATATTGATGTGCAATTAATTTTTTTTTCTAGATTCTCAAGAGACAAAACTCGGTGTTTGGAAGGAGAGAAATGGACCTCCCCCTTTGCCTCCAATCGACTTTGATTATTGGTAGCTTACGTTTTCTAAGACAAAAGCATCCAAGTATTCGTTAATGTTATTATTAATGATTTTGGCTTATGAATAAAGTAATACACTTGTTAATCAAATAATAACGTTTAGTTATAAATTATTGAAGCAAAAACTTACTCTGCTTTTAATTCGTGCTATTATTTAATGAATGTTTGTATTTTTTCTGCTGTTTGAATGTTTAAAGATTTAGAACAAGGCAAACAATCAAGTTTGTTTACCGCGTTTTTTTTTAAAGCAAAGGTAAAATTTCTGTTTGTTTTCTATGCACTGGAATAAAAAAAAATGTCAGATATTCGTGATTAAATAATGTAACCGTTTTATCCTTACTTGTCATTCTAAGCATATTTGTCGTTACTTTTAGATGCTGTGTATTTAAGAAGGCGTGTAGATAGGTACCTATGTATTTGCTAAGAGTTATATGTGTCTGGTAACACTGGTTCCTTTTTTTTAAGTTTTAATAAACTTATCTACGTTTAACAGTTTTGTTTTATTCGTATTTTTATCAATAATAGTTAAGGTCTAATTGGAGTTTCCAATTCTTTACCTTACTCTGATAACCTGTGATACCTAACTCTGATAACACCTAATCGGGGGAGTAGCTGGGCTCTGTGGGAATTTTGAGTCAGATCGGGTACCAACTAAAATAAACCACGCAACAGCGTGCCGACACGACAGGTGCACCTGTCAATGTCGGCCGCGGGCACGTTAGCTCAGTTAAGGCCTGTCCAGTGTCCTCTTGCCTTGAAGACATTTCACTTTGAACTCTGATATTAATTGAGTCGTACGTTGAAATTGACGTCATAAAATCTTTGTAATCGTTTGATATCGATTCGATGACTCCGTGGCGTAGTGACCAAGGTATTGGCTTTAGCGTCGGGGGTCGTGGGTTCGATTGTAGGAATGGAATCCAATCGAACGGGACAACTATTTATGTGACCCACAGATAGTTGTTTCGCATCTTGGTGTTTGTCCGCGTGAAATGTTTGAAACGTACTCAATACAAACTTAAACACAGGATAATGTTATATAAATAAAAATATATAAAGTAAGGGCAATGTAAAAAATTTTAAATAAATAAATGACGGACGGACGGAAGGCTGCCCGTTCGTGCAACAGCGAAAAATGTTGTGGCCTTACCATTCTTTCTATAACTCAACTAAAAAAATTACTATAACTGAGTTTTTCGGGATTGTTTGGTTGTATGTCCTATACACACAGGGTATGTGAATATAGGGCCATATAAAGCGTTAAAACGACCAGGTAATGAAAAAACATCAGTTTATTCACCGTTTTATTATAAAAACACCCTTGGAGTACATTTGGTATAACCTAAAAGTTGCGAATATCTACGTAACAATCTGGGTACGTATACAAATCAACCGCGAAACCATCGGGCTTTGAAAAAACAAAATGGCCGCAATCATCTTATTACTACAGCCTATATATGATATGGTTAACAATATTGGTATATTATGCCTTTGTGACGATATATTTCAATAAAATTTTGCACAACTATTTGTACCAACCAGCTCTACTGAGTGATGTAACGTACATTTTTCAGCATAGATATTGTGTTTAAGTAAAACATTTCTGCATCCTTACTTACATACTATATATCAAAAATCTTTCAATAAATGTTTCCAAAAAAGTAGGTAATATTGCTCAAATAACTATTAGTGAATGGATTGGACTTTTCATTTCATTAATTTGTTTTCCTTCTCAATGACTGTTTTGCTGGCGCCTTTTATAACCTCGAAACCTATAGATCATAGATAAGACATATATACTGAAATATCTAGCTATAGATAGTATCGGAGGAAACGGTAGATTCCACACTATCAAGCTCGCTACATAAAAGTTGCCATTCCGCAAATATGAATAAATACTAATTGTAATTTAAAATCCTGCAATTTCACAAATCATAAGAATTAAAGATAGGTCAAAAATTAAGGCGCACTTAAAATTAGCTGACAAACAATTAGTTAAAAAAACATGTGTTTACGTAAAACATTTCTGCATCCTTAAATATACATCACAAATATGGCTTAACAAGCGTTTATTTTAAGCTGATTACGTTTTATCAGCTAAAAGTAAATTGTAAATGTTGACATTGATCATTTCACATCATTTGTTTTGTGACGGAGACCCATTATCAAATCTTATCATTTGTTAAAGTTCGCTTATTATGTGCAAATAGCGGAGAATTTGGTAGGAAAATATAAATGATATACTATCTATCCCATTCCAGTAAAACCATCAGTGAATAATCACAATATTTTCATTTACTAACAACGGACACAATTTTTATTACAAAGCACATCAGAGATGTTGGCACCTTATTTGGATTACATGACTAAGAATAGCAACAGGATAGCTAAGATTCATTTAACTGCTCAGAATGAAGCGCTTTATATTTCATATGGGTATACACAACACAGCATTACTTTAGTTATCATGGCCTTGAATATAGTACAATAGAAATATTATATAAAAAAGGGAATAATTGAATACATATTTGTAATTGAATATTAAAAGTGGGTACACAATGAATCTGTTTAACTCAGTCCCGCACCTCCAATAAATCCAAACACAAAGTTAAATTTAACTCACAAGAACAAATCACTAGTGTTAGACACACACAGGAATAAACCACTAAATTATACACACATCCGGATGATGACCAAGCCGCTTGAAAGGCCTATTTACCTAGAGTTTATTACCTAGAAGAACATAAGAAACCTGGCTCTTGTGAATCGTAGAGTGGGAGAACCGCGCCGTAGAGTGCGATAAGCTCCGTGTTGGGGCCTGACGATGGGCGTCACACAGCGTACCAGCAGAACATGGCCATAAGGACCCTCGCAACCGCTCTGGACGAGCGGACCAGCAATCACTGGGCTTCCTCCTCCGGGGCCACGTCCGGAGGTGGTTCCGGGGGCTCCTCCTCGCGAAGCCTGTTCGGCTCCAGCTCGATGGCGGGGTCGGCGGTCGCCTCGGCCAGGTTCGTCACCGACTTGGACTTGAAGCACTGGAAGTCCACGTGCCGCGACTTGGCCTCCTCCTTCTCCCACGACATGTGGATGAACGGCCGCTGCACGTAGTTGTAGATCACCTCGGGCCTGCCCCCGGGCCGCTTGCGCACCTTCTCCTTGTACGTAGGGTAGCCCTCGACGCCCAGGCGGATCTTCTTCAGGCCCCGCTCTTTCATCACCTGCTTCGCCACGTCCCTGTTAGGGCAACACCGAAACGCTTTAGATGCCATCTGTGCCACTAAAAGACTGTCTCTTGCGTGGCAAGTCTATCGCACACCAAGCAAAATCAGTGACAATTTCTACTGAGCACATTTTTTAGCTCATTTTACTCGCCACTAAATCACATAACTACTATGGCTCTCATCTTTCTTACACTAGAAATTGAAAAAAAAACACTTATTGACTCACAAATCATAATGAGTGATTATTGCTACCATCAGTAAGACCATTACAGGATGAGTTTGGATAGAACCGACTGCAACCTGACTGCGATCCCAACCCACCTGTTCTCGATGTACTTGAAGAACCTGTAGAGGGGCGTGGAGAGCACCGTCTGGCTGTACTCGTCACCCATCTGCGGCGGGTACTGCTCGTCCCAGTCCACCGCGTCGTCGTCGAGGAGCACCACCACGTGGCACTCCCGGTCCCCGCGCTCCGCCGACTCCACCATCAGCGGAAGGATGAGCCGTTCCAGGAACGACTCGAACTGCCTCCGCGCACCCTCGTTCGACAGCTCGTGCAGGAGTCCGCGCAGGTTCTGACACAAAGAGGTGCTGTTGCATGCTCTACGAGTATAACAGGTTAATAGCCTCAAATAGACTATACATATACATTTTATCCTTTTGTATTAAAACAAGCGCAAGGACCGTGGCCTGAGATAAGAAAATAATAAGACCGTTTTCATTGTGACGAAAGAGCCGACGTCAAAGAACCTCATTGAAGGATCAAAATATTAATCAGAGATATAACCATCCGTGTTGTTTAACACAAATAAGAGCATGAGAATGAATTGAACTGATAAAAACTATTTGTTCATGCATTAAATGTTATGTAGAGCAATGAATAACAGTGACGCAATCGCCAAGTATAACAATAAATTCGGCGAAGATTTTAGAGACGTTTATTTTTTACGAGATTATTAGATAACAAGATTTAATTCTTGTTATCTTGATTGAATTCTATTTTTATAGTTATTTTATACAAGTCTAAATTTTGAATAGACAACATACAAAACATGGGTTAGTCGCTTTGGAATTAATCCATTTGTTCTTTCTGATGAAATTTCTGTATCTGTGTATAACTGAGTCATTGTTTTGACTTAACAAAACATATTTGTACAAACAAATATGCCTTCTATTGGTCAAGAAAGAAATATGTCATGTATCTATTGCAAGATGATGCAATCTTTTGTTTCATTAAGTGTTCTAGTTACCTGGCATCTGACAGTGTTTGCGTCAAAAGGCACCAGCAGATAATCGCAGGCCTCACGCAACTCTTGCACAGATACTGTAGGAGGACAACGGATTGTCCCACCCCGATAGTACTCCAAGATTGCACGGAACACCGTCGCCGATATACCTTCGGCCACTTCGTACTCGCCTCGTTCATTGGGATGCGTGAACTCTATGCCTTAATATTAATTTCCGGTTTAAAAATGTAGTTATAATAATTTAAAACTGGTTCCACTTTTAAAAGTGGGTGAATATAATGTTAAAAAACTTCATAGGTATAGATACATAAAGATTACTATAGGGACAGAAACTTTTAACAAAGAAGCCTTGGTAGAGCTAAACAGAAACTTCTACTGTTGCATGAATGGACTACCATCCCAGACAAAATACCATAGTCTTCATAAAGTATGCAAACAACATCTAAGGTCAGCAGTGCAACTGCAACCCACAAGTTGTAGATGTTAATAGTCATATCATCAAGGTTAATTCACTAGCCCATCTACAAAAATATAAAATCAAATCCATCAGATCAAATTAAAAATTAATTGGAATTATTGTTCATGTTCCACAAATCCCATATCCTAAATTGTTGTGAAGTCCATGTAGAAATATTTACATAACTGAAGACAATTCCTAGTAATGCAACCATTTTTTGTGTATGGTTTATAATATGCAGTTCTAAGTATCATCTACAAAACTAATTAATAAATTTAGTAAATATGAATCATTCCTACCTAGTCAGTTCAAAGTAATTAATTACTAATAAGGGGTCTGTTTTGCCTTCCAAACTCTACAGTATGATGGTTAAATGAAATATATCAATATGACTCACCAGAGCTGAACATTCTCCCAAGCATGGTGTTTGGATGAGCGGTAAACTGAGCCGGATCAACTACAAATCTTGTATTATCCACTACCAATGTGATCCTGTCGTCGATCAACTGGCTTTTCTGACCGTTTCGAGGAGGCTCCTGCGTGGAGGTGGATGGTGTGGGCCCACCCTGACTCTGGTTCTTCGGTGGCATCCTGCCGCGGATAACAGGTCCGTTGCGCTTCGAAAGACGCTTGCGACGCTCCTCGGTATCTCTGCGATATTCTTCTGTGTCGCTGCTGCTGTCAGGGTAAAAAAACGGACGTCGTTGATCTAACATGCCGTTGGCCTCGGGGCCGATAGCCTGTGAATCAGACATAGGCGCACGCTCGTCACCGCGAGCCCTCACATCACGATCGAGGCTGCTTCTTCTGCGTGTGCGGAACAGTTGATGCGAGTTCGTCGTGGTAAAACTTTTTGTTTTCGTTCGACAAAAAGACGAACGTCAGCGCTTTATGTGACGGTTTATAAAATGTTGCCATATTTGAAGGATAATGTTGAAAACCAAACCCTATTTTGGTCTTTCATAAATATTTTTATAGGATTTTTTAATTTACTGTTTGTCATAGATCTTAATTTAATTTTTGGATAATAAAACATTACTTTTACTTCTAATATATTGATTATAAAATATTTTTATTCTCCAACGAATTACAGGTAAGTAGATGGACTAGCAAACAGAAAAGGTCATAAAATTAACTACAGATAATAGTACAAAATGTTAACAACAAATCATAAATAAATAGGTACCTGTATATTGTTAAAATGACCGTTGGTTATCGCACACAGTGTACACTTCACAACATAAAATAACTTCGTTACGTTTATTCGAACGTAATTTTAAAAATCCCACCCCTAATGACTCGGTTGTTGACCTTACTAGGTATGTCAAAATGCGGAAATTTCGATAAAAGTATAATTATTGTTTTTATATTTTGAATATAATAATTCCAACTATTCAACGAAAAATATCACACCATGTGTTATTAAAAGAAACGTTTTGAAAACGCTTACGCGCGAATATTGTGACGTGATATATCAGTGATAATTTATAGAACGCAAAAACTTGTTATTGTAAGGGGCGTTCGTGTTTTTTATATATAATTGTTTACAATGGAAAGTAAAAAGGAATACCACGATCCAGATTATCCTGAGACCTCTGGTTCTACTCAGGAAGGAGTAAAAAGTTTATCTGAAGAAGAGAAATTAGAAAAAATCAAAAACATAGTTCGTAAAGAGTTTGGAAATGAATTAGATATAAGAGAAAATGAAGTTATGTTAGCTGATCAACGGTAAGTTTAAACAATAATTTTTATCTGTCACAAAGCAAATAAATTTAAAAGTAACGTAATGTTCACATTCTTAGGTGTGACATTTTTGCATTTATTCATAGCAAACTGAAGATATAAACTATTGCTATTTCGTTTATAATTTAAAATATTAGTAATTTATTATTTACTCAAAAAATTTAAGAATATTAAAGATATCAAAATGAGGATTTTCAAAAAAAAATCATAATTATGTTTAACAAAAAACTAGACAACCAAAAAACATGCATGATTGAACATTATGAACCATTATTATCTCTCTTCTTTTTTCATATTCAATTATTTTATGTAAATTTATTAACATTATTTGGAGATTGTTAAAATACTCAGTAACATTCAAGACCACATGGCTTAACAATAACAGAACCAATATAATTAACGGTTATAATTTCTTTAATTTAAAAAACTAAGGCAAATGTAAATAACTTTAACTTTGGCATAATTCAATTAAAATAAATTTTAAACGATAGAGAAAAATCACTAATGAATTAATCAACAAGCAGAATTCAGCGGTCGCTTATAGTTTTCGAGAAAAAAAATATTTAAAACTTGTTATTTTTACTAAGTAATCCACCATTTTATTCATTTGACTTCAAAAACTCAATACACAGTTCTGCCAACATGATAAATATAGGAAGCGGGCGACATCATACTTGTATCGATAGTCTGATTTGTTTTAATTTAATGAGTCACCGAACGGACACAGTGCCAATCCGACTTGGATAGATTAGGTTAGAAGGTTCTGGCGGGAGCTCCGCCTGAACCTTCGAGGTTAGGTTATTTTTTTTTTTTTTACCACCAAGAAATAAGAGCAGAATTGACATATTGAGAACAAAAAAATTTCTATTCACACTATTTCATTTTATTTTTTTGAAAACTATAACGCCGAATTCTACTTGTTGATAGATTCATTAGTGATTTTTCTCTATCGTTTAAAATTTATTTTAATTGAATTACGCCAAAGTTAAAGTTATTTACATTTACCAAAACTAAATCATACATAATTTAGATTCTCAATATTAAAATAAAATTTGGATTTAATCTGGTTAGAAAACCTTTTAAATTTTGGTTTAACCTGAGCAAAATGTTCAGCAGTTTTACTATCCATGTTGTTCTAAGTATGTCTAATCCAGCAAAAAAAATATGAAATTTAAGGAATTGAATACTAAATTTTCGTATATATTTTCTTTTTATTTATTCACAATTATTTTTGTAGAATACTTATATTAAAATTTTAAATTAATTTTATTATGTTTTGAGAACATTCAAAATGTACAATAAATAGTTTTAGTTTGAAATTGGATATTTCAATGGTTCTTAACTTATGGCATTTATTATGTAAAACATTTGAAAATTGAGTATTTTAAATACTCAGTGAATGTTTTAACATTAAATTATCTTCCATTAAAATCGTAACTAATATAATCTAACAATCTGTGAATTTATTCAAGATATTACCTAAGAAATTCAGATAAGAAATTATTTTTATCCATTCTTATAACTTTGTTTTTATGTGTATTAAAGAGCCATAAGAACAAGTTCAAAAATTTGTTATTAAATCTTCGCAGGATGTTAACGGCCAGGCGGGCTCTCCATCATCTTCGCTACACCCTGGTGAACAATTACTACAAGCAGCAAAAGCTACAGCTCTCTGCAAGTCAGCTGGAGGATGAGTTAACAGAGCTGAATGAACCACGATCAAGAGCTGAGGTTAACTATACCTCAATACTTGTTTTACTCTAGACAATAGCAAGGGATTTGGTAACCTATGTTAATGTAGCATCATATAAGCTTTTTCATTAATTTTTTATTATTGTTACAAACAGATTCTAATATCTATGGTTATATGTTATTCACTCAATAGTTAACAGTATTTATCCAAAAAAATATGATTGAGAGCTGAGGGTAAAAAAGGGAAGAAATGAAATTGTAATAACACTAAAATATGTAGAAAAAGTACGAAAAGAAGGGGATCCGCTGTGTTAATCGATCCCACGTCTTCGGCATTCGCGGCCTGACGCTTTAACCACTAAGCTAAACGGCTGATAGCCACGCCGACGAAAATCTTAACGTCTTTTATCTACATTGATTTTTAGCATTTAGATAATGTTCTGTAAAAATATGTTCTGAAATATTGAAGAGACGTGCACAACGATAAGTCCGTGGCGCAGTTGACAGTATTGACTTCGGCTTCGGGGTCGTGGGTTCAATCCCCACACAATAACTATTTGTGATACCCACAGACAGTTGTTTTGCATCTGGTAGTGTGTCCATGTGAAATATGTTTTAAAACGCCTTTACAACACAGACTAATATTATCCTAAAGTAAGGGCAATGTTTTTAAAAAAAACAATCATTGAGCTTTTACTGAGATAGAGAAAACATGGCAAACCAATAACTCTCTGGACAGTTGTCATTTAATTGTTAATACATATAACTAATTAATATTTTGCGACAGGTCTCTTCGCTATTACGTGATGGCCAACGTGAAATCCATCCATCTTTACGTAAGCTGCTCGGCAAGAAGACAGTGGACCTTGAGGAAATATTTAAGATTAGGGAACCAAGAAATAAAGCCCGAAAGGATTACTTGGTGAGTATTGTTATAATGAGTTGTCATAAATTACATCAATCTATTGTGTACACATGTTTTATAAATATGTTAGGAGGATTAATTAAAATTTTCTTTCATGAATGCCTACTGGTTATTAAATAAGTGTATGTACCCATGGTTAAGTTTGTTTAAATAAGTCTTTATGCAATGTAATTATAAAAATTTATACAGAATCATAATGCACAATCGAAAATCTATTCCAGGCAATGCTTCAAACTCGCAATTACACAGTGCCAGCAGACTCCACTAAGTCCCTGCGACCAGAATCCCAGCAGCAGGAAATAGAACCATTCTCAACTGATGTACCAGAGAAATTGGATAGACCCAAGAAGGTGCCCCGCCACCTAGAGCCGAAGATCACGAATGTGGTGACGCTGGACGAGGCCACCAGGAACAAAATGAAACACCGGTATCGAATTATCATAGGTATAACATAAAATGACACATTTTTTTTATCATTTATTTTTTAAGTTTTTGAACATATATTGGGTGTAGTAAGTTTTTATACATTAAACACGTTTCTGTTTCGGTCTCTGAAACCATAATGATCTTAATGAGCAGAAAGATCAATTCAAAGAGCATGCTTTCAACCATCCTTTTGGCAACTCAAATGACATTTGAAAAGCCATTTGACAGCTGATAAGTTGACATCTATGGTAATCAGTGTTTCAGAAAACTGGCGTTATAACATTATCTATATAATACTACAAAAATCAACCTCAAATTGCGAAAATAAAAACCTAAAGAAAAATTCAAATTTTATAGTGCCTATATCTGCACTTAAGATAAAACTAGAAAACTTGTAGAAAAATAACGATTTTTTTCTAAAAAAAAAAGTAAATTAACAGCCTATAAATATTCCACTGCTGGGCAAAGGCCTCTTCTGTAAAGAGGGCATCAGGGCATAGTCCACCACGCGACTTTTTATTATTTCGAAAATATGCCGGTTGTCTTCACGTGTTCCTTAACCGTCGAGCACGTGATAAGAGTGACCTAATTCGCCCCTCGGCAGGCAACACGTCGAAGTACGCGCCCGGGGCGTCGCGCGCCGACCGGTCGACGCACACGTGGCTGCTGTACGTGCGCGGCGCGGAGGCCGTGCTGCGCGCCGTGGCCGTGCGCCTGCACCACTCCTACGCGCCCCACCACCTCGTGCGCCTCGAGTCGGTACCGCCGCCCTCCCTCCCTCTCTCTCTCTCTCTCTCTCTCTCTCTCTCTCTCTCTCTCTCTCTCTCTCTCTCTCATATTAAGATATACACTAAAATTCTGATGCATGTAATGTACCATAGGATTAGGTAACAGTATTGTTACAGGATTTATTAAAGTCAAAGTCAAATATCTATATTCAATATAGAAGCATTCACTTACTTATTGATAGTCAAAAAACTCTACCACCGGTTTGAAAGGAAAGCCACTGACCTGAGAAGAACCGGCGTAAGAAACTCAGCGGGACATTTTTTTTTTTACTTGTCAAAAAAATTACAAATATGTGTACAATTATTAAATTCCACTTGAAAGAGCCTGGAGCGATCAATTCATTTCCAGAGTGTGTTATCATTCAGATAATCACTAATACTATAATAGCCATTAACACACAAACGTTCCTTTACAAGTTTTTTGAATTTAGCAACGGATTCATTTTGAACGTTTTCTGGAATTTTGTTATAAAAGCGTATACATTGTCCCATTGTCCCATATTAGAACGATCTATCTATCTATCTATATCTCTCTCACTCTCTCCCTCCCTCTCTTTCTGTCTATCGATCATAGACACACACTGAACTAGACTGATGTAGCTTTAACTGCAACACATCCACCGCTGGACTAGGGCCTCCCCTGAATAGGGGTCCTACCATAATCCCATACCAGCATAAGTACGCAGGATACACCTGCGTACTTATGCTTGTATGCTGCTGCACATCCTGTGGATTTCATCCCTTAGTCGCCTTTTTCGAAACCCACGGGTAGAGATGGGGTGTTGCTATTCTTTCTAGTGCCACATCACAGCCTACACATACACACTTAATTGTAATTATTAAAAGCAGTCTAAAAAGTGGGGATACAGCGTGTCGTTACCATCGCGACAATAAATGAACACACGTCTAACGCTACTTGCCAATAATCATAAAACAATATTAACGTTAAACAAAAAAAAATATATTTTTCAAACAAACCAATTAAGTAAAAAGGAAACAAAATTTGTAACACCTATATAGCTCGCGCCACAGCGTCGCATTACAAGCCTCTCCTTCTAACAGTATGTTTTGTCTCTTTTAAATCCATTCAACCTATTCATATGCTTTGTGACCTTTACAAATGAACTTTACGTTACGCATTTATAGGTAAGGGTGTTCTAAAATTCTTTGTTTTGGATAATTTAATAACTCTGTAAATATTGATATTTAAAGAATTTAAATGTTTAATACAACTTTAAAAAGTTATCCCCTATATGTGTGTTCATTTATTTTCGCCATGGTAACGACACGCTGTATATTCTGTTTGTTATAATTCCCTCATCTAATGGTAAATAATCATATCATAAAACACCACATACAAACGATAAAGCAAAAAACTTAAAGTGGTAAAATTGAGAGCATATTGGCCGTGGAAACATACAATGAAAATGGAAAGGCCTGCGTAAAGTACAAGGATTTATACTCTCACTACTAGACCAGCATGATTTGGATGGCCTGTGTGAAGAATGGTATGTCTGCGAAAGGGGTGAGTATTGAGATGACGGCTGATAGAGGAAAGTGGAAGGGGACATGTTGTGCCGATCCCACCTATTCTGGGATAAGGGCAGGAGACGGAAGAAGAAACTTCTAGGTGGCAAACTCCACGGAGCTCGGTGCTGTCCGTCTTTGTTCCGTGGCAAATTCCACGGAGCTCGGTGGTGACCATGTTGGTTCTGGTGGCAGGAGGCCGCCGTTCAGCGTGGCGCGGCGCGGCTGGGGGGAGTTCCCCGCTCGCGTGGAGCTCCACTTCGCGCTGCCGGAGCGCAACCGGCCGGCCGCCGTCGACCACACCATCCGCCTCGACCGCCACTGCACCGGCCTGCAGACCCTCGGTGAGTCGATACAAATACTTGATTATTAATTTTTTTTATGTGAAAAGTTGCCAAACGAGGAGACGGTTCACCCGATGTTAAGTGAATACCGCCGCCCATGGACATCTGCTACACCCGAGGGTTACGGATGCGTTGACAACCTTTTGAAAATTGGGCTCCGGCTTCCTCGCTCACCAGACGAAACGCGAAAGTATTATACTTCCACTTTACGAAGGTCTTCTGTGACGTCGTGGTACTTACCCGGATGAGCCTACCCGTTCGCACAACAGCCGAGGCTGCTGCGTGGCCCTAACACCGTTGTCTAATAATAGATCATTCATTCATCGATCTGTCGATAGGCATTTTTTTTAAATCTACCACCGTTTGGTAATTAGGTTCCTCTACTGGAGACAGGCAAAAGAAACTCCGTAGGTATCCTATTTCTTGTCATTTTTTCCCCCTCAAAACATTAAAATATGATACAATTGTTTTTACTTTTAGGAATAGCTTGGCAGCGATCAACTCAGTCCGTCCGGGTTGTTATCATTAATGTGTTCATTTATATTTTAATGACCCTTTTTAAAAAGATTTTTCTTTAATAAATTTCTTAAACCTGTTAATAGAGAGGCTTAATAAGACTGGCCACATACCCCAGGGACCAGGTGAAGCAGACAAAACTGAACCCTCTGTATTGAGTTTTGACGTATTAGCCGTCTGAGTAGAGGGAAGCCATAGTTGACTCGTTACTATTTAGCCAGACTAGCAATTAGCCAACTATTTAGCCAATCTAGCAAGTCGACATTCCTACTAACCTTCAGTAGTCTATGCTTGTAATTTGCTGTTTTATTTTTCTTATATTTTTTCTAGATGGCATGTGAGCTGTCGGTTCACTTGATCTTAAGTGATAACTGCTGCCTATGCATTTGCAACACCCGTAGAAATGCAAAAGCATTGCCACATTTTAATAAAGTGCGCCCTGGCTATCTCACTCACCTGAAGAAACGCAGAAGTATGACAGTTCCACTTAAAGCCGGTCTTCTGGAAGGTTGTGCTACTTATGGATAGACAGACCCGTCACGGAACAGTCGTGCAACACGCTGACTGTTGCGTGGCCCTACCACACCATAAATAACTACCTATTGAGTTAACACTGTCAATAAACTTCATGGTTAACATTTCAGGTGCCGAAACAGTGGTGGATGTATGGCTGTACAGTACTGCCGAAATGTTGGAGCATGAATACAAAGAAAACATTCCTGTGAATCCACCGCTAGAAGCCGAAGAAGCAAATGAAGCCGATAAAACGGAAGCAGCAAGTGACGATGCCGTCCCTAATTCAGCGAAAGACAGTAATGATATTCGCTCTAACAAAGCTAATGAGACCAACAACACGGAGAAATTGAACGACAGCTGGCTGGAGTTCTTCTCGAAGGACACCACTGAGTTGAACGTAGACGAAATGCTGGTGAAGGATGTGAAGAGCAAAGCGATAGAAACAAATGACATAGAACCCACAATAGACGGAAGCTTTGTTACGAATAAGAGCGACGAGTGCAAAGGCAACGAATCCGTCATTACAGATATGAGGGAAATGGACGACTTCAAAATATGTTCACCCACCGAGCAGCTGCCCACGGAACTGGTAAACCAGGACACTTGTCTGAAGAAGAGGATAATGAAGTACATGGACCCGACTACGAGGAAAATCTACTATCTGGAGATGGACAGAGACCTGGACCTGTCCAAGGTTCAGGAGATAGTGATCAACTCGCAGGGACAGGTGCAGACCGCCAAGATAAGCCCGATCAAGTCGAACGGACTCAAGCACGTGAGGAAAACTAAGGGTGGCGCTTCGTTAACGAAACCTGAAACGAAGGGTGTGACGAAGAAGGAAGTTAAGAATGGAAATCACAGGAAGCTGCGCGACTGCTACGCTCATATAGAGAACGATCATTGTTACTTAGCAACACCGCAACAAAACTCTGAGAGCGAGGATGAAGACCTGCCTATGGACAGTCCGACACACAGTGTGGGTCCGAGGGAAAGGAACCTGTATGAGGGGCTCTGTGCAGCTCTACTGAGGTTCCCCTGCGTCAGAATGGCAGTGAACTATCTGCTGAAGAATATACCCCTGATCAGTGTGAATGCGACCAATGAGGGTTATGTGAAATACTTCCCCTTTGTAGTGGAGAGTGAGGAGAGGTACTGGAAGCTGGACTTTGCCAAGCGGAGAAATATAGAAGTAAGTAGTTTCAACAACAAACAAACTTCATTAGTATTTGATTTGACATATAAGTGTGTTTCACCATAGTTACACCACTTTATTAAAGAAGTGGTAGATGTCATTCTTTGACCATGAGAAGGCAGATTTTTGCGTTTTCACCACACGACAGCCCCAATCAGAATTCTGAAGAATGTAAAAGTCAATAATGACGCTTTCATAGCATTTGTAAGATCCGAAAAATAAAGTTGATTTCTATTTTTAAAATATTGCCGATAATAAATATATCTAAGAATAATGTAGATCATCATTAGGGAATCAGATAGTGTCATTTGATTAGTGATTTTAGAATCAGTACTATAATGTCAGTTCTAACATACAGATTTATGCATAGAAATATAGACAATTCTATTTATCATTTTCAGTGGTCCAGAGCAAAGCTTATAAATAAGCTATTGATAGAAAATTTAAAAACGGATGAGCCGATTTGGCGGACGAAGCAGATACTGATATACTCCAGAATGCACGGATTCTTTCCAATCAGACCGGACAACATTCCACAACACCTGGACAAGAGCACCGAGGATTGGTCCACGTGGAAATTCGGCGATGACTTCAGAATAGGGGAAGGGGGGAGGAGTGAAACTTGTTCCACGGCTGGCTGTAACACGTTGACGATTTTCGACATCGACGAGTACCTCGGCGAAAACTCTCCGTCGGAATCTTTTAACCAGTCGGACTCTGATGAAGACATTGACATTGTGATGTGTGAAACTAAAGTGAAGGTGAAAAGTGAAGTGGTGCCCGAGTCGAGCCTGGAGGTGTTGCCAGTGGAGAGCGAGGAGGACAGACTGAGGTTTTTGTTCATAGAGAAAAAGTGTGCAGACATTGGTATAGAGTTGAGGAATGAGGACGTTGGCAATGGTTATGCGTATAGGTGAGTGTATTCGTAATTAGCATTATTTTTCAACCGACTTAAAAATAACTAGGTTGTTCTCAATTTGACTGTATTTTTTATGTTTATTACCTCAGAACTTTCGACTGAGTGACGATTTTGATGATTCTTTTTTTATATGAAAGCTGGTTCCCACGTGGTCCCATATTAATTTCATTGGTATCGGATGTTGGGCTACGGAGATACGTAGAGACCTCTGAAAATCAATTATAAAATGAATAGAGATCGAGATACTTGTTTGTGCGAGCGAGAAATTGGTTTTGTTTTTTCGTTAACAAAACAATACTTCCACTTTACGCCGGTCTTCTGTGAGGTTGTGGTACTTACACGGATGAGCCTGCCTGGAGTAGGCTAGCCAAGTATAAGTATAAATATAACCTTTTTACATATAAAATCAATTATTGTCAAAATAAATTAGTTTTGGACAAGCATACTTGTATGTTGTATCCTCCAAATAGCACCACAAAAGTAGGTATTGAATTTATATTTATAGCTCTGGAATACAAGTTAGTCCCTCGCTATGATGTTTAGAACTTATTGGAGTAATGTTTTGAACCTTAGTATTATAGAGACAACTACCAATATACAGACAGCAGTAACTGATCTTAATCGAAATTTGGTTAAATTGAAGTTTATTAGAAGTTTAAATGAAAATAAAAAGAAAATGAACCAAATAAAAATATAGTAAGATGTAACTTTTGTTGCAGCGCGGTGCATGCAGTTCTATTGTCAGCCATGCGCAGCTTGGCAGAGGAGTTGTTACGCTCCTCGCTCGCTTCACTGCACCAAGAGACACACACCCCGCCACTTGTGTGGGCCAGGTGGGTATTCAATGCTATGAGATTAATATACTCACTGTTGCGTAGAAATTTTTTGTGTGTATTGATCTAATCTAAATTATTATCTAAAGAACAGTGACAGACATAAACTAAATATACGCCATTGTTTTGTCTACTAAAAGTAAATAGGTCTTTTATGGAACAAAGTGTCCGCATGTATAATAACTACCCACATTCGATATTAAGTCTGCCACTTGACCAATTTAGACGCAGAGTAATTCCGTACTTCTTGATAGCTCGAGGCTTCGGCTACGGGACTCGTGGGTTCGATTCCCACACTGGGCCACTAATTATTTCGTATCTGGGTGTTCGTCCACGCGAAATTCACGCCCTTACAACACGGGTTAGCGTTATCCTAATAAGAAAAAAACTGGAACAGCGGAGCCCGGCGGCGCAGCGTGGGCACCGCGGCGGTGCTGGGCGCGGTGCAGGCCGTGCCGCGGCTGCGGCTGCTCACCTCCAGGGGCCTCGGAGCGGAGAGACGTCGGACGCAGCCGCTCTAATAAACGCACTGGCGCGCACCACGGTCTTTTCTTTGCCCACGCCCAAAGCCACCACCACCCGGCCAATCACCGGCCCGACACCCAACGACATTTAGCTTCGTTGCGATTCGATAATCGGCGAACGTAAAAAGACCATAAACATTATAGAAGAGATAAGTGATCTACCATCGACAATAGATCTTGAGTACTTCAAAATATTAAATGTCTAGTTTTTGAACAGTCGGTGCATGCCCCCATACAAAAGTTATCATCGCCGTTTAGAACCAAATCTACAATATGTGTAACTAGGTGCCAAATAGAAATTGTTATGAGGCAAGGGTGACTGATAAAACTAAAAAAGAAATTTTATATATTGTTCCAATCTTAATATGTTTTAAAACAAAACAAAGCTTTCTCACATTAATGTTTACTTCAAAGTTCATTTGCGATCTCCGTAAAATGTATTCCTAATAATAACTCTCCAGACTTAGGCCATTAACATGCTACTCGTATGTTGTCCCCAAAATCAATAACTTTTCCTTTCATTTTCAATTTCGTCGTTAAATTACCTATTGGCCCACCTAAAGTTACCTATTTGACGTTGGGTCATATATTCATATAAACAATGTATATTTATAGTTTTTCTAATATTCCATATTGCCTAAAGGCTCTAAAAGTTTATTGACCTAAAATCGTAATAAACACAATATCATCTCATATCGGATGACTCCGTAGCGTAGTTAACATGGGTCGTAAGTTCGATTCTTACACGGGACAACTATACAAGTAAAACGTCCTTACAGTTTAATTCAGATATATAAAAGAATTTTTTGGTTTAATGTTATTCTACACTAACTTTTTTGCTGTACCAGACCATGCTTGCAGCAGTCTGTGGGGGAGGCCTATGTTCAGCTTAGAAGTTGAACAGTGTGAGATACCATTATCTATATACCATTATAAGAGATACCGTGGATAGAATTTAATCCTGGTAAAATACTTTTTAAGAAAACAGTGACTATAAAGGATTTTTCTAGTCTATTTAAATTAGAACAAAGAACTAAAATAAAATGTATTTAAAAGATAATTCAATGAACAAACTATATTGTCTTTTTTAGCAGTTTATTACAATATAATTAGATAATAGAAGTGTTCTTAATAGTTCCTACCGCAGACTTCACTGTGAAGAAAGATCAGGGAAAATACATCTTTGTCTAGAAAAATATTGAACTTTATATAGTAACTAGCTGAGCCGGCAAACATTGTTTTGCCATATAAATTATTTGTAGGGTAGAAAAAATAATTGGGGTAGACCACCCTTAACATTCAGGGGGATGAAAAATAGATGTTGTCCGATTCTCCACCCTCGCCGATATGCACATAAAAATTCACGAAAATCGGTCGAGCTGTTTCGGAGGAGTTCAACTACAAACACCGTGACACGAGAATTTTATAAATTAGATGTGGATAAGAAAAGTAAGCTTCAATGCTTTTTGAGAACAAGGAGATTTTAGCATTAAATTTGAAAATAAAATTTTTTTAGTAATAGTTTTTTATATATTTTGGCTTTATTTGTATACCTTTTTGGTAATCTATTACAGTCATCGTACTATTCGCTGAATTTTTAAATATTGTTTATCAATTTATAATATTATGAATGATATAAATTTATAGAAAAAAATATGGTTTATATATTAGTGAAGAATGGTGCAAATTACATATTTATTTGGCAGTGGTGTTTTGAAAGAATTTCTTTGTTCATACAATATGAAGTTTTTATTTAACACGAAATAAAAGAAGAATAAATAATTCCGTTTTATTAACGCTTTTACTAACATAATACACTAATAGAAATTGCGTCGTCAATTTATATAAAAAATATTGCAAATTCTTCACATTCCGAGGAAACTTTAGCTACAAAATTGTAATTTACGGTTTAAATATATATCGTCTAGTTACTAGACGTTTACATAAACATCTGCTCTGTTTTAATATCTCTTGCGGGAGTGCGTCATAACGGTATGACCGCCTAAGGCACTATGTATATAACTGTTTGATAAATAACAAAATTTCCGACGGTATACTTATTTTTATTGAATTTAATGTACTAGAACGCATCTTGGAGACAAGAGAAAGGCCCGTTGCAATAAAAAGACAGCTAATCTACACTACATCTTTGTACACGTCCCTGCGAGGCGCCATCTAGTGTCACAATGGAAGAACGATATATACCTGTAACAAAAAATATCCCATATTTCAAAACGCTCGCCTGTGGACAACTTCAAAAATTTGGTCGTAATTTGGGTTATTTGTGTGTGATTGGGTATTGACTCACAGTTGATATGACATTTAAATAAAAAATAAGGTTCATCAACCATTTACAAGCAATTACTTAGCTAAATAAATGGATAATTAACTTTTGGCTTAATTTACAGAGATTGTCTCAAATGGATGAAGGAATATCTTTTACAAAAAGAATTGACATTGCCAAAGTGAATTAGTATTTTTAATATAAAGTACAGAATGGTTTGTATTTTGTTATACCACATACTAAATTTATATAACATATACGGATACAATTACATATATGGATTTTTGTGAGTTAATATCAAGATCCCTTCGCACGTGACATCTTTCACCATAGTCATAGTTGTTACCCGTGCAGCCCTAGGCGGGCGCGGGCGCCGCCCCGGGCTGCGCCCCCAGCAGCGTGGCGGGCTGCTGCGGCTGCGAGGGCTGCTGCGGCTGGGCGGCGGCGGACGGCTCCTTGGCCCTGCTCTGCCGCTCCCGCTTCAGCTTCTCGCCCCCCATTATCGCCTTGATGTCGTCCGCGTCCAGCGTCTCGTACCTGCCGCAAATGCAAGACTGCCATATTATATCGCCGGTCCGCATCTTCCATCTCTACGTAAGTGGGCGATTCAGGTTTTTCAATGAGAAAAGTAAAGTAACAGCCTGCACATGTCCCACTGCTGTGCAAAGGCCTCCTCTGTACAGAGGGTATCAGGGCATAGTCCACCACGCGGCCCCACTGCGGTTTGGCGGACTTCACATGTCTTCGAAATACTTTGTTCTATAAAATTATAAGGTTGATAATTGCACTCTGCGGACCGGACATACAACATAAGAACGATAGTTGACTCATTGTAGGTTTCGATGATGGTTATCATATGCCCAGCAGTGGTCTAAAAAGCTGGGATACGCACTTGAGCAGCGCGTCGGAGAGCGCCTTGTGCTCCTTGGCGTGGTTGCGCAGGATGGCCTTCGCGCGCTCGTAGCTCTCCGATAGGATCTTCTTAATCTCGCCGTCCACCTGCCGAATTGAACACCAGCTCAGTGATGCCAAGAACAAATTGAATGAAACGTTGATATGGTTGATATGTCCCAAAATTATGTAGTCTAGTGCAAGCTTAATATAGCTTAATTTCTAAGGATTTTTATTCTTTTGTAGCTAAAGCCAATATAAAAGTATGAAATGATGACCCCCTTGTGCAGTTGCTAAGGTATCGGCTTCGGCGCCGGGGGTCGTGGGTTCGATACCCACACGGAACAATTGTATTAGTGTGACCCACAGGTAGTTGTTTCGCATCCGGGTGTTTGTCCGCGTGTAATTTATGTTTGTAAGACGTCCTTACAACACAGGATAATGTTATCCTAAAGTAAGGACTTGGTAAGAATTTTAATAAATAAAAAAAAAAAAATAAAAATAAATAAAAAGTACAAAATTGTGTTCCATATAAACCAATATTGATTGTTATAAGTTGAAGACTTTACCACAGTATTTTATATGTGAATTTAATATATAAATGATTAACGGTATTTTTATTACTTGTAGGACCACACATGTAATTGAGCAAATTGTGAAGCATATAGCAGATCGCTGGTTGCAATTCTTTAGTCGCAATATTACTACTAATATTCAATCATTCTGTTATATAACTCATACTAAACCCTAATCTAATGCTGTAATAACTTTTGTTGAATTATATGGAAATGGGCGGTTGGGGCTCACCAGCTCGTTGGTGTAGGGGCCGAGGGGCTCCGCGGGGGCCAGCGCCCCGCGCGGCGCCTCCATGCTGCGCAGCCCCACCTTCTCGCTCATGCCCCACTCGCGCACCATGTGGCTGGCGATCGCCGTGGCCTGCTTCAGGTCGGAAGACGCACCTGTTCCGACCACTCGCCCCTTACTAATTGGAAACTTTTCCTTTTTGCTATTATAGATTGGACCTGCCCACTCGTGCAGTAGTCTTCGCTGTTGCAAGATTGGGCTGGTCCGCCCGGGAAAGTACCTTGAACTCACAGAACATCAACGTCAAGTGGAAGTGATACACTTCTGCGCTTCATATCGTGAATGAGGTAAACGGTCCACTCTATTGAAAGGTGTCTACGCATGTGTAACTCTACAGATGTTGTAAATGTACATCGGCGGAGGATATCACTTATCATCAGGTGAACCGTCACCTTGAGTGTATATGTTCTTACTAATATAAAAAAAAATACATTTATAATTGGATATATCTAATTTTTATACATTACAAAAATACAAATTTTACAAAGATAAGCTATTAGTATTATTTTACTGTAGTTATGACAAAATATGGCAAAAAATATCAGATGCAAATATGACATGCTATAAATCCGAAAACCTAAATCTAATAATTATTGATGTTAATTGAAAAATATAAAAGTGTAAATCGCTCACCGGACGTGATCTTCTCAGGGCCGAAGACCAGCTCCTCGGCGGCGCGGCCCCCCATCATGGTGTCCATCGTGGCGAGGAGTTGCTGCTTCGTCACGTGATATCTGCGGAGAGGAGTCGTCAAGTTTCGCGAAGGTCGACAGTGTACAAGAAGTGGTAGGGCCACATAACAGTCTTCGCCGTTTCATGAATGGTCCAGTCTGTCCGGGTGAGTACCACGACCTCGCAGAAGATCGGCCTGAAGTGGAAGTGTCACACTTTTGCGTTTCGTCTGATGAGCGAGTTAACCGAGGCCTATTTTATTGAAGGTTGGCAACGCATCCGCAACCGTACGGGTAGTTCCAATTTCCATTGCCGGCGTTTATCACTTAACAACAAACAGACCGCCTAAGCCGAACGGATTGCAGCTTTCTCACATAAAAAAAAAGCCAAATTGTAATACTTCCCTGGACGAGCCATTGAGATGCGCATTTAGGCCCAACCTACAGCGAATAAAGAAATGTCGCTCCAGGTTTTTGTGGTCTTTATAAAAATTCAATGCATATTTCTGACGTGAATCATGCTGCGTTTAGGTTCGTAGCTAGGAATGAAGATGGAAGGAGGTCAAGTTGCACACCTCTCCTTGGCGGGTATGTAGGCGGTGTGTCCGAGCGAGGGCCCGCGCGGGATGATGGTGACCTTGTGCAGCGGGTGGGCGTCTCTGGTGTAGAAGGCCACGACGGCGTGGCCGCCCTCGTGGCAGGCCGTGATGGCGTTGGCCTCGTCGTCGGGCAGCCGCGCCCGGCGCGCCGGCCCCATGAGCAGCTTGTCGCGCGCCTCCTCCAGGTGCGCCATGGCCACGGAGGGCGCGCCGTCCACCGCCGCCTTGAGCGCCGCCTGGTTCACCATGCTCTCCAGGTCGGCGCCCGTGAAGCCGGTGGTGCCGCGCGCCAGCGCCTCCACGTCCACGTCGCCGTGCGCCGCCACCCTGGCCACGTACAGGCGCAGGATCTCCACGCGCCCGTCGTAGTCCGGCGTCGGCACCGACACCTGCCCACCGCCCGTCATCACCAAGTGCGAATCGTGTTGTAAGCGTTTGGCTATGTTTTCTAGCTTTCCTTGGGAAACAAACACCCAGATCCGGAACAATACTATGTGGATCACGCGAATACTTGTCCCGTGTGGGAATCGAACCCTCGGCCCCCGAGGCCGAAGCCAATTATTTAGTAACGGCACCACCGAGTCATCATCGATCCCTTTTGGACGACCCGATTGACGTACTAGGTAATAAAGCTTCCTCAAGGGTGTGTGTGAAATATTGTGTGCATTAATTATAGTCTTTTCCAGTGTTTGTATATGTATAATATGTATTTATTTACAAAAAGTATGTTGTATCTACCCATAGTAGTAGTAGTTGTGTAAAAATATGTATGATAACCCAACCGAAGGAACTTTAATCCTAATTGCATTGAATTATGAATTCTGACCTCAACATCAAACCGTCCAGGCCTCAACAACGCCTGATCCAAGTCATCCCTGCGATTCGTCGCTCCAAGCACGATCACACCCTCATTTTGATGGAATCCATCCATCTCCGATAACAGCTGATTGATTGTCTGAAAATGACAATTAGTGTATTATTATCACTGTAAATTAATATACATGAACAGTAAAGACAAACTGTATCTGATAACCTAAAATCTAGTTACACTAAATTAAAAAAAACACTCATTGAAATTAATCATCCTTTACATGAATATGTGCAAAACTCAAATCTGAAATACAACAAATAATTTAATTGGATAGAAATTGTATAACGTTACTTGCACTTACTTGGTTTGCGTATGGATGTAATACGCTGTTTGTTCGTTTAGCACCAACCGAGTCAATCTCATCAATGAAGATCACGCAAGGAGCTCGCTCTTTGGCTGCCTCTGCGGAAAAGAAGGACAAAACGTTAGATAGTATATTAATTATACATATATAAATACATTAATAGTATATTAATTACTTCACACACAAAACTAACGCTAAATTCTCTTTTTAAAATCCACTTAAAAACACAACCAATACAGAATATTCTTATTTGGCTAAGAATTAATTTTACTTATACAACCTTATTGGTGAGATTTAAATAGGACCCACACAAATCGTTGACGTACCAATTTCGCAAATAGTTTTAAATACTTCTACCTACTAAAAGCAAAACAAATTTTATATATTACAGCATAGTTGTTTTATATACCAGATGAATGGCAAAATTATTTTATTCTTTTTTAAAAATTAAACATTGCCTTATTATAAGACCAAGCCATCTAGCCAATCCACCAATCTAGCCAATAAACTATTTTATATATTTTCCCTTCCCTCGCATACTAAAAAATTAAAGTATAATTAATGAGCATTTCATTTATTATGAAACTAAACAATCTATTAAAAATTATTATCATTAAATTGAGGACTTTAGTACCGATAACCGATGGTTATAAAAGATTACATAAATATCACATATCGCAGTAGATACAAGCCTTCACAACGCCGATTAAATCTGGCTGAGTGGAAAGCGGTGCTCATTCAATAAAAATCCTAATTAAAATGCGAGATTTGGACGACCTTGACGCGTAAACAGGTGCCGCCTAGGCAGCTGCTGTCAGGAACAGCTGTTCGCTGGAGACGTTAGCGATATTTGCATAAGTAACCGATCCCGGTCGAATTAGTACGCAATCGTTAGATATTTTAACACACTTTTTGGTGGAAGGAAAGTCAGTAAGAGCAGAGTTTTTTATGTGGGATGTTGAGTAAAGAATAGTGACAGACCTAAATTAAATACTAGAAATAAGGACAAAATAATTACGCCATTGTTTCGTCTACAAAAAGTAAATAGATCGTTCATGGAGCAAAGTGTATGCTTATATAATAAAATCCCACAGTCGATTTTAAGTCTGCAACTAGATCAATTTAAACGCAAAATTAAAAGTAAACTTATGACTAAGGCATATTATACCATTGCGGAATATCTTGACGACGCCAATGTGTGGGATTAATATTGTTAAAATAAGACACTTGTTCTATTACATTGTGAACTAATCGTTTTAAAAAGGAGCAACTGTTGAGTTTCTTACCGGTTTCTTCTCCACAGAAACTGCTTTCCGAACCGGTGATAACTTTGATTTAATTTAATTACTTTTTTTTTTCTAATTTCTGACTTTGATTTAAGTGATTACCACTAATCATGGACTAACACATATGAGGCTGATAAAGACAACATTTTATAAGCAGGCCCCAGACAAAGCACAAAAGTTTACTTCCACTCCATGGTACTTCCCCACTTTACTTAAGCAAACCCTGTTATTTCCCCGTATGAGCCTGCACATTTTGCCCAAACACAGAAAATAAAATTTTATGTCTTTATAAAAACTCAATGCAATTGATTAAGTCTGAATAGCCTAAAATCAACCTAAACACGAAAGTTATTGAGGTTTCTGATCAATAATAATGATTAAGGATATTTCATAAAAAACACATTGATTATAATTATTATTAATTAATCATTAAGAATTAAAGGCAACCTACAAACTCATGCTTTTGACTTTATGTCAAAAAAAACTGAAATGACTATGTACCTTTTTGACTTTCATTAAAACAAGGAGTAGAAAGCTGCTTATCATATGCTTCGGTCTCCTTCACTCCCTTAAAATCACCTCGTTTTTTTTATGTGATAAGGTGGCAGTTCACCTAATATTAAGTAATAACCGCCGCCCATTGACATTTTCCTTTTGACCTTTTAATAAAGTGGGTTCCGGCTACCTCACTCACCAGACGAAACGCAGAAGTATAACACTTTCACTTCACGCCAGTTTTCTGTGAGGGTGTGATAACCCCAGACGGACCTGCCCATTTTTTCAACAGAGAAGACAGTTGCGTGGCCCTACTACGGTCAAAGTTAAAGCAGTATGTCTTATCTATGGTTAAAGTTTGTTCCAAAAGTGCACAAATACTTATTTTACATTTATCAAAAATACAAGGTGGCTTTTCTAAGTGTATCCATTTTTTTTATTAAATTCTAGACATAAATAATGTTATATAAAAAGTTACAAATATTTAAAATCACTCGTAATTCATTACATTCATTTGAACTTATCTCAGAAAGTGCGTGATTTATACGCAACTCATTTATTTTACGCGCGATCATTCATAACTAACACGCACACAAGTTCGAGCACAGTAAAATTTAGGTATTTAAGAATGACTACCACATTGTCCACACGTTCTGTTTTTTAGCGAATAGAATGGCACAATGGTTTTTTGAAGAAAAAAAAAAACTTTGTTTTTTATTTCAATAAACGATTATACTACCGAGTCTGAACCTCCTGTGTAAATTTGGGCACTTCTCAAAACATCTCCCTGTATATATATTTTTTAAACAGGTCATTATAATTCTAAAGGTGCGATTAATGTTATGTGGTGGTGATTTTCGAAGAAAGTGATTGGTGGTGGTGATGCTCACTGAAGAGGTCGCGGACCCGCCTGGCGCCCTGGCCGACGAGGATCTCGTCGAACTCGGGTCCAGCCGCATGGAAGAAGGGCACCCTCGCCTCACCGGCCACGGCGCGAGCCAGCAGCGTCTTCCCTGTGCCCGGTGGCCCCACAAGCAGCACCCCTTTGGGCAGCTTCCCTCCCAGAGACGAGAACTTCTCCGGCGACTTGAGGAACTCAACCTGGAACGTGATGCGGTCACCAGTGAATAAAACTATCTTAGTGCCTTTTACAACTATTTGTGGGAACAAATGTCTTTCCTACGTGACGATTGGCGATGTGACATGTGGATTTATATTGATAAATCTAAAACAAATCAAATACAAATATTATAAAAAATTATCGGCGTTTTGACTAGAATACTATATTAACTCCACCTGCAAATCATGATTGCCTTGAACTCATATCAATCATCGACTACATTTTCTGGGAATTATATATGCTTGCCCAATAATATGGTATGAGCAAAAATAAAACTGTGAAATGCATTAATTTATTGTACATTCAACATGACAACTATGAAGTTGAAAAATAGGACTCAGAGTTAATATCTATGAAATAATACAAAAAAAAGCAATATGATTCAAATAACAGCCCCAGTACATTCTATTTGGCATAATAGCAAAAAAAAAAGCTAACAGTAAAATCATGCTTCTAGCTATCACTGTCTTACGTTTTAAGTGATGTCTCATTTATACGGGATCAGGAAAGACAAGCCCTGAATATAGCATGTTTTTCTCCTTATTTATTATTTTTAATAGCTCATTACAATAATCGTTAGTCACATACCACATCCTTAAGTTCCTGTTTGGCTTCGTCGGCGCCTTTGACGTCGTCAAAAGTCACCGAAATGTCCTCGGGGTCTACTTCCACCTGGTTACCGAGCTGGATCCTGCGCATGTTTTCACATTCATACTGATTATATACCATTTATACAATATTAGAACAACCATTGTTTTATCTGCTTTTCGAATCTCGAAAACGGCTCCTCTATCTTTGGAATCTCGAAAACGGCTCAAGCGATTTTCATGAAATTTAGTATGTGCGTAGATTCGGGGGCGAAAACTCAATCTAGCTAGGTTTCATTTTTAGAAAATGTCCTTTTATCCCTGTATTCGGGGAATGAAAAATATCATTCAAATATGACAGTAAATTTCGCCGCAAAAAAATGTTATAATAGCTCGGTCGGTAATTGGGCGGTCCCGAATCAGACGGCCGCGGTTCGTATCACGATCATTTACACACTTATTTTTTTTACTTTTTTTTATATCAGATCATTCTCTTTTTTTTTTACAAAATACATTATTTACCAAAAAAAAAACGAGCAAAGCTCTAGCGGTCCTCCAGGTACTAAAGTAATAATACTGCATTTTAAATGTATCAATTAAAATAGATTAGAAGTTATATAGTACATACAATTGTTAATATAACCTTTTGTGTTAATTTAACATTGAGTATTTTCAAATTAAGGTCAAATTGGGAAATGTTTTTATCAAATAGTTTCATTATTCACTAGCGTGGCAAATTACCAACCCGACCAAAACGCGAACGTCAACAAGCGCCGCCCGCGAAACGTCCTAATCGACCCGGTCGAGGAAGGGGACTTAGACACGACGGACCCACCGCCGGGGGTCCCGCCGGACAACACTACACCCACAGTTAGTGCAACAACAAACACACTAGTTCGCCCTCGCCTCCGAGCACGGCGAGACCAACACAACGCGTACACAAGGTACACCCGCGTTCCGGGGCGGTTCTCACCGCCCCAGCCACCGATTAGCTAATTGCACAGTCGACGGCCATCGGGGTCCGAACCACGACCTCGATGGCCCTTAGATAAACGCACGCATGAGCACATGCGTGGCCCTACCCACAGCGGAGGGCCCAAACCCGTGGGTTCTGGCTAGCCCACCGGTTCTGCGTCAGATGAAGCTTTAATAGTCTCGGGACTGAAAGCAAAAACATCAGTTAATACAAGATACAAGATTATTCACTAAGGTTGAACATTCCCTTTAATAATAACTGCCCTTAAAAACTTCAATTTTTTAATAAGGAACGGTATCAAATTCAAATGACTTTATTCAATATAGCATTACATTTGTATTGATTGTCAAAATACCACTACCAGTAAGGAGGTAAAACCATAAGATCTGAGTAGAACTAGCGAAAGAAACTCAGTGTGATATTTTTTTTAAACAGAATTTGAGATTTATTATATTTTAAGATTTTCGTCGCCGTGGCTATCAGCCGTTTAGCTCAGTGGCTAGAGCGTCTGGCCGCGAATGCCGAAGACGTGGGTTCGATTCCCACAGCGGCGACAATCTTTTCGTACTTTTTCTACATGTTTTAATGTTCAATCTTAAGTGCAGAGATTAGCACTATAAAATACTTTAAAATTTGATATGAACGTGTTTACAAACACATAATTAATTTCCAGCGTGTCATTCTTTAAATAGTCAACAATATTTAACACACAAATGTAGTATTCAGAAAGTAAAAAAAATACGTTAAAATTTTTGATGGATACCGGAAGACTGTGCCACTGACGGATGCCATGAGACTGACGAAGATGGCTATGAAAAGCACAATAGTCAGCAGCTGTTGCACCAGCTTCAGGTATTTGGAGCCTTTTGAAGTGCGAGCATTTTCTGGAAGTGACCCTGAAACGGCAATCTTAATTTGTAATACTATAAAAAGTAGGTATAGCAAAAGCGTTTGCCTAATACTTTTATTGAACACATTATTAGGTGTTCCTTGTTGACAAAACCTGTGTTATTAGTTTTAGACAGAATTTTACCTGCGAGAAAGCCTTCAGCAAATGCAATCTTAATTTTGTCCTTTTGCTGGTTTGTAAGTAGCGTGTTCTCATTTAGAAGTTTCTCAAGCCTTGGCGCAACCTCAGGACCAAGGTTAGTTTGTTGTTGCTTATCATCACCAACATTCAGGCCTACATTGTGGAAAGTTTAATAAGCATTTATAAAGTGATACTATTTAGTTTAAAATTTGCCTTCAGATTTCTAAAATCCTTTACAACAGCTTTAATGTTAAGTTTTTTTAATTTTAAGACCATACATCCAATCACTGCAATGAATTTATAGTAGCAATATAATAATATTGAACCATAAACATACATATTTCTTTATCTTTGTAAATGTTTATTTTACAACCATTGATTATCCATAACTATTATTGCAGAAGAAAATTTAGTATTCATCATTTTTTATAAGAATTTCACACATCCCTGTGAAAGATAACAACTTTTTTCGAAGTATCAATGTTAGTTACATCATACCAATAAATTCTTTCACAATGATTTCACAACTATGTTCAAAAGTAGTTTGTACCTACTTCAGCAGCTATGAAGAAGACAAATATGTACTCAGCTATTTGTATAGTGTATTAGTATGACTACACAATTTATACTAAATTATCACATATATCATCCAGAGAAATTATAGTACAATACAGTCAATCGCTACATAATATATCACTGTAAAATATTGTTATTATTAATAATACTGACCGAACAACTTACGGAGTCTATTGATGAGGTTAGGGTTCCTTTTTAAGTCTGCAGTAATGCTGCGCTCGGTTTTAAAATTGCGAACCTGTATATTATACTTAAAGGTATTGTCTTTTACACCCTTTCCTAACAGTCCAACAAAGTTGTCGGTAAAACTAAAACGAGTGGTTTTGCCGTCTAAATCAACCGTAATCGCTGGTACCGTAGCCGTATCTATCCATCCGTTTTTATTCTTCGTAAACGATTCGGCCGATATATATGATACCTTTTTTGTAGAGCTGAGGAGTACTGAATTTCTAAGTGGACTCTTGCAAGGAGCGGCAAATCCCCTTAGGGATCTTAAATTAGTGTTACGCATCTCTACTAACACATTCTTGTCAAAATTATTTAAAGTTTCGTTTAAACTCTCTGGGCATAGCGATACATTGTTTGACCCCGCAGAAGCTTCCGTGGCCTTCACATTTTTATTTTTACTATTACTATGTTTTTTTTGCTTGAATATACATGAATATCGAGACGACAGCTGACTAAAACTAATAAATATCTGCAACAATAAAGGTTATGTGATGACAAACATTTTTATCTTAAATTTTACTTAACTTTAATTTGCTGATGATATCATACCTGGTTTTGGGTATTTATAGAATTCAATGAGAACATGTTACATGTAGATAGCTAATTCTATTTCCCTTTTTTTTGAAGTGCACTCCAAAATTTTGTATAGGTAGGCTTTTCCTACGTCAGTTCATAGCAAAACATGGCGAGCATCTCATTCTCACTTTTTCTGCGACCTCTACGAATCTATGGGTCAGTTTCGGGAAAATAAGTAAATGTAGCCCCGAGTTCAATTAAATGAATTTAGTTGCATATGCTTCCAATTTAGTTTTATATTCAAACAAGTTTATAAATCTTTATTTATCAATTATTGTCATAGGTTTTGAAATCGAAACGTTATCAATAAGTTTGTAACATTACATACAAATAACTTCGAACGCAGCCCATTTTATTATGCTCTACATTGTCAATGGTTTATTTGGACAGTAAATTCCAAAATGGCGACGAGCGATGACGAGCCTATGCATTTATATGAAGTTTTTCAAAACTGTTTTAATAAAATAGCAAATAAACAACAAGGTGAGTGAAAAAATGCATACCGTGGACCGTCTCGTGTTCCTCAAATGATGTGCCGCGATAAAGTGAAGTGTTTCATTGTGAAATTCGACTAAAGTGTTCGCGTGTTATGCCATTTTCAGTGTTGAAACCGAATAACATTTTCGCGAATAGCATTAAAAAATAATCATCTGTTCATCATAATAGCGTTTAGTAAAGTTGTTGAGTGTTTAAGGCGTGTGTTTGTATCGCAAATCTTCGTTTTATCTATATTTTAAGTGGCCCAAAGGGCTATGTTTTGATCACACAGTCAATTGTCAAATGTGCTCTCCATTGTGATATCATTTTAGTATTGAAACTGAATTGTTTCAGGATTTGTTTACGTTGATTTACGCTCTACCGCTGAATCCAGGTAAAATTATGACAGACTTACGTCTTGCACGTTTAACAGTGAATAGTCGTGAACAACACAGAAACTCGCAAACGTAGTGTATACCATTTTTTGTCCAGCTCGGTTGTTGCGGCATTGTAGCCGAAATTGTGCTTGTTTGAACGTCGCGTGCGCTGTTTTAGATTGCGAATTGCCGTTTTTATGCTCTCCCCACGCTCAATGTTTACAATCTGAATTTGTTTATTTACGCGACTACGGAGCGTACGTATCTTGTTAGCTAGCCAGCAGCGTATGGCTTGAAGCAAATACTTTTTATACGATGCCAACTATCTTCTACCCTACACTTCTATCTACACTTCCCTTGCCCTTATAACCTTTAAAGGTTTGGGCCACATACAACAAACAAACAATATGAAGCTTGACAATTTATGAAGGTTTGACAATTATTTTCAGCCATTTAATCGAAATTTCTTTTTTCTGCAGTAAATGAAGTTATGACCCTGAACTGAATAAGAAAATATATTTCTATGTACCATATTGTTGAAGCTATTTATTAGTGAAATTACAAAGTATATAATCTGTTTCATTTTTAATAAAAACTGACATTTCTTTGCATTTTTATATATTTCTAATTTTCTGTTTATTAACTCAGTCAAACTAGCATAAAATGTTTTAATAAAAGAATAATGCGTGATTATTAATTTTAAGAAAAATGCATGAAATTTAATGAATGAATTATATGCATTTCATATATTTTTTTTTTATTCTTGGCTAGTAACCATGATTTATTGGTTTCAACATTCAAATTAACAATACAAGTTCTAATGATATATTAGATGATCTTAATATAACAATTGAGAACTGCATGATTCCTAAGTTTTGCATATTGTGTGACATGTGAGTTAATTTCATTATTATAATAATAACGCCACCATAACAAGTGTTATTTTTCCATTTAAATGCAAGTTTACTTTCTTCTAAAGTAGCTGTTATTAGTTGATGGGTCATATATATTAAATATTACTTTATTATTAATTAATAATTTAAGAAGTGTGAAGGCAGAACATGCTTTGTTACTGTTTAATTCTTGTACAAAGGTTTTATATTATTTATTGCTAATTTAATTAATGGCTGGAAACGTTTACTTTTTTTCCAAATATATATAAATCTTAAGGCAGACTTTGGATTCACAAGTGTTTACTTTACAAAAATTATGATGAATGAATAGCACCTCGTAATAAAATATTAACTCGTTTGTAGCCACAATTAGAATATTACCAATACATTACTTACATCAAACACTGTACCATAAAACGATAATTAAAGACCATATGCAAGTAATATCAACATCGTTTGTATTTAGATCAAGGATTCATGTTGATTGACACAATAGATTCGCTAACTACTACACTCATTTACTTGTCAGTGGACCTTTGCCCATGCATGTCACAGCTTGCAATTGATCCCTTTCATGTTACATTGTAAAATTGTTGAGAATTATTTAATTACACCCGCAGGTCTCTTGGTGCTGAGCACTGAAGGTCTACTCCTTAATAATGGATGTGAGACTTAATTTTATTCTTAACTTTATATTCAATTCTTTCAATTTTGGTTAAGATTTAAAAATTTTGTGATAATAATTGTGACAATTTAGTCATATTTAATGTGTTTCTTTTTTATATATTTGAAATCCTCATAGTTTTCAATACACTCTGTGCATACTATAAATGAGTACTGAGTTTGTTAAATTGTTGAAATAAAAATATGGCAATAAAGACTTCGGTATCAATGGGATGATGAAAATGATTGGTCTTGTCAAAGTTGGTTCTGTTTTGTGAAAAAGACTTTTTGGTTAATAATAATAATGATATTTTAAGGATATATTGTACATAAATATACTCATAAATTAAATTAATCAACTAAAATTGGAAGAAAAGAGAAATAAATTACAATTATATAGGTTTTCCAAATAACTTTGAGATTGTAGGCGGAGGGAAAAGAATCAGTTACAAATTACAATTAAGAAAATGCATTTCATACAAATTTCAAGTTTAATAAATTTTAACTGAAATCTAAAATGAATTTGATAAAATATTAAGCAAGTTAGCAAAAGAATATGGCATTTTACTTTGTAAATATGTGAATATGTCAACATTAAAAGAGTGTTATATACCAAACTTAAAATTAATATTTGCCTGTGAATGTTTTTTATTGGACCAGACAAGTAGGACTTCATTCAGTAGAAGTAAAATTATCCATGACTAAATCAATGTTGCTCCTTAATTGTGTTTTAAGCTGCGCCACACCTGAGCAAACAATTGGTTTATAAAATACAACATGCTTTAATTTATAGTACATATTCTTATATATATATACAAATGATATGAGAATTTTATATGTTACCCATTTTTATTTTGTTTAACCAAGTCATGAAACAGAGGGGCTGTTTTAATATCCACCAATTTTCAACAGAAGGAGATTTTACTTCACTATGATGAACTTTATATCATAAAATATGTTTTCTAAAACATGAGTTCATATTGCAAGATGATAAGAAATGAAATGCAAGTGCCCTGGAAACTTAATAATTAATTTGTACACATATAGATCTAGCCAAAATGGTGTAAAAAAGTTTTAGGGTTCCGTACCGGGTAAAACTTGACCCTATTACTAAGACTCCGCTGTCTGTCTGTTTGTCTGTCTGTCTGCCTGCCTGTCGGTCCATCCGTCTGTCACCAGGCTGTATCTCATGAACTGTGATAATTAGATAGTTGAAATTTTCACAGATGACATATTTCTGTTGCCGCTATAACAACAAATACTAAACAATAAAAATTTTTTTAGCTGGGCTCCCATACAACAGACATGGTTTTTTGTAGTTATAGACAATGGTACGGAATTCTTCGTGCGCGAGTTCGACTCGCACTTGGTCGGTATTTTTCAAAATAATCACCTTACGTGTAATAAGTGAAGCTTTGCCCTTCCCTACAAAGATGTTTACAGACGACACATACCGTTCTGTGTGAGCACGTTACAATATTAGCCGATGACTCATGCGAGTATCAATTAAATTTGAAAAACAGCGTTCCCATGGCGCTAACGCACAAACGGATACAGATTAAATATTAGAGATGTAGCGTATAAAGTGGGTGCACGTGTTTGCGGCCATGTATAATCTGTGCAAGTTTGTCGATTGCCGTTTACAGTAAACAACTCTGTATTCTTCTGAGCCTTTTTAAAATATGTGTGACATTTGTTCGGTGTAATGTAAGATTAATTTCTTACAAGTGGGATGAATTTTCGACATAGAGAGTTTACACAATCATTTGAAATTGAACTAACCGAAAGATTTTACTGATGTGTTTCTTAAATTTCATTGAATGGATTAGGGTTTTAAATTTTGAATTCGTTAACGATCGACGTTTAATGCATTTTTATTTAAAATTTACCAAATACGAAATGGATGCGGTGGTTAGGATATATGCTATTTTGATATATTTATTTATTTTATTTTATTTTAAGACTTCATGCACATAACTCTGTACATAGGCGGACTTAATGCTGTCAGCATTTTCTACCAGTCAACCTTAGGGTGGTACCGAGATTTTGAGGTAGGTGCACAAACATTTAAAATATAGATATTTTACTAATTACACATAAATATATATATAATACAATACAATTATATTAATATTGCTTTATTTTAAATTTGACATTACGTTAGCACGTAGCGTTAGACAAAGAGAACAATTTCCAAGTGCGAATTGCAATTAATCTAAATGAATTTTTAGTTCGAGTGAGTTGAAACGAGAGTTCATGGACTCGGTTAAGTTTGTGCGCTTTACCACCCAAGGCTCGCACGCCACTCACCGTCTAGAGGAGTTATCAATACAGATAATGAAAATTGGAGGGATGTATGTTATAGGAAAATAACCGCTTTTTAATAAATAATAAATGCATATGGATTTATACACGGTACAAAGCCCAAAATAACGTTTTTCACAATTTTTATCTGTCTGTTTGTGCCGGCTAATCTCTGAAACGGTTGGACCGATTTCAACGGGACTTCACTGGCAGATAGCTGATGTAATAAGGAGTCACTAAGGCTACTTTTATTTTAGAAATTTTATTTATTTAAAACCCTGTGATAATAATGTCGCGGGTGCAGCTAGTAGATTATATACTCGTTAGTAGTGCTTTTACGAGGACTGTCCTACAACGTGAAAGAAAAAAAATATGTAAAAAAAGGTTTTGTTTTAGCCTGCTTTTGCCCTTAAATGTTTAGTTTAGTGAGAATTTTTTTCATTGTTAACATGATGACCGCAAGGTAGAATTGGCGGTAAAATACGTTTTCACGAAAACACCCGCCACAATGGACGAGTGAGACGTGGATGTCAAATTAATGGAAAGTATTTTAACATCCAAGACGCAGTATTATTAACGTTTTTCCCCACGTTTATCACGAGACTTTAGTCCAAATCACTACATAGAATAAAACAAAGTCGTCCCGCTGTCTGTCTGCCCCTATGTATGCTTAGATCTTTAAAACTTCGCAACGGATGCGGTTTTTTTTTACTAGATTTTCAAGAGGAAGTTGTATAATACATTGCACCCGTGCGAAGCCGGGGCGGGT